ACCGCATCCAACCTGCCGCCTTCATCACCCCCTTCCTCATCTCTGGCCTCTCGGGTACGTTTACCCCCTTGACACATCAAGTCCTCTGTACCTCTCGTTTCCCTTTTCCTTTAAATCTCTTCCTTCTTCTCATCGCTCTGCTCCCTTCCCCTCCCCTCCCCCCCCCCTCCCCTCCCCTCCCCTCCCCTAACATGTCACTCATCGAATTCCTTCATTTCTCCCTTCCGTTCTCTCAATCCTTCCCTTCCCTGCATCCCTCCCCGCCCCTCCTCTCTCTCCCCACTGTTAAAACCACCGTGGGGTGCAGACAACTACGATGTGAAGATGCCATGCCACCTGGTGCTGGCGAAGCTAGCAGAGAAGTGTGCCCCATCGGTGCTGGCAGTGGTGGATGCACTGGTGGAGCCATTAGAGAAGACAGTGACGACGCGTGTTAAGGCAGACGCAGTGAAGCAGGAGGTGGACCGCAACGAGGACATGATCCGCAGCGCTCTACGCGCCGTGCACGCGCTGTCCCGCATCAGGTTAGTGCCGTGCACGCGCTGTCCCGGATTAGGTGCAATGTGCTTGCTTGGATCTAGTGAGTAGCATGGCAGGAAGGAAGCAGGTGAGTTGTGTGGGACGAGTGAAGCAGGAGGTGGACCGCAACGAGGACATGATCCGCAGTGCCCTGCGCGCCGTGCATGCTCTCGCCCGAATTAGGTACGATGTGCTTGCTTGAGTCAGGTGAGTGGCGTGGCAGGAAGTAAATGAGTGGTGTGGTGGGCATTGCATGACGCCATGAAGCAGAGGTGGACCCAATGAGGACATGATCCGCAGCGCCCTGCGTGCCGTGCATGCTCTTTCAAGCATCAGGTAAGTGCCGTGGTTTCAAGATAGGAGTATGGTGTGGGATCAATAGAGCTGTGTTGTATCAAAGAAGTGGCGTGGGAGAGTGGTGTGCCAGGGAGTATGCTGGAGCCTGGAACCCACGAGGGGGTCAAGTTATCCAATTTCCTTAATTTTACCTGCTCTCTGCAAAAGCCTTCACTCCCACCCTCTAGTTGCCTCTGCCTTTGTCACTAAACATATTTGTACACGCAGGCACACACTATCACCTCTGCTTTCCCTTCCCTCCTCCGTCCATCCCTGCTCCGCCCCGTCCCCATGACACAAGCAGCAATGTGGATTCATCGACTCGCTTCAAGACATTAATGACCAATGTGGTTAGAGCGGGGCCTGTGGGGAACTTGTACAATCAAATCAGATCGGAGCAGGATGCGGTGGCTGGCAGCAGTCGTGCGGAGCTATAATGACATCCCTGCACATGGAACAATTTACAAGTGCCTTTGGTCGTCCAAGTGATTTCGTTTCTCCTGATGTACGACACAGTTGCTGGGCTGTGCACTGGCACAGCGTTAAGTTAGTTTGAGAATATGCCACGAGGATGCACCTTATGGGGAACTAACATGGATAATGTAAGCAATCAGCTTGCTTTGATGTGATGTTGCAACACACCATACGATGGTTGAAAGAGTGCTGCTGGGTGAATGAACATAAGGTAAGAGATAACATTGTGCAGGCCTTTCGAATTTACTGGTGTAGTCAGTTAGCATGACAAACTGCTTAGCGCGTATAGCCCCGCCAAAATACGAACCTGCGCAGGTTCGGTGGTGGTGATTGAGCTGGGTCCTCGCGGTACAGTACTGGCTTGATCTTGATCGTTGTCGTTCTCCCTCGATGTTGCGTTCGTTCCAAACCTTGCTTCAAGTGCGCAGCCGCTCTGCCAGCCACACCAAGCCGAACCTTCCTTTGGGCTTGTCGCCTCGCACGCGCAGGCATTGTTGGGTTTGACTGCGCCCAATTGCCTGCCTGGCTACAGCACCCAGCAAGAACTGCTCCACACCACACAACACACGAATTGAAACTCCAAATGACTGGATGACTGGGTTGGATAGACTTTTTATCCAGAAAGTGAGCCGACCATGGCTGTGCTTGTGCAACACAGTATACAAGCTGTAGGATGTTCTGCCTGAATGTGCACAAGTCGCTCCGCCTGACAAAGCGCAGTGCGGTACAGCACTTGAAGCATTTGGTGGATAGAATCACGCGTCACATTGACACTAATGTCGGGACGAGGGTGACGGGAAAAGGATTCAACTCAAATGCTCGTGTCACATTCTAGCTGGCTTGATTGCTGGAAGTTAGTATTAGAAGTAACCTTGTGTTACTTCGCTGCACATCACACCGTAGTTTGCAGCCTGACAACCTGAGAGCCTCTAAGAACGATTAATTCCTGACCAACCTCAACTACTCGCGCTTGTGCGCGCAGTTTCGTCTTAGCTCTCCGCAAACGTCGGTTCGAAATTTGTTAACCTTAAGATTCACAACTCGGGTGGAACGATGGCTTCCAACGGAAGCGCCTTGGTGGTAGCGGCGGTGCTGCAGCTGCTGCTCCTACTGGCGGGTAACGCCGTGCCGAGCGCGGGTCAGGACACGAGCCAGCAGCAGTGCTTCTGGCCGCTCAACGACACGGAGGGTAAGCTCACTCTTTCGCGCGGCATGTAGGCTTCCGCGCGTGATGAGTGGATTTTGGAGTCGACTCGTAGTCAGGACAAGAGCCTACAGCAGTGCTTCTGGCCGCTCAAAGTCACGGAGGTAAGCTCGCTATCACGCAATGTTGGCTTCGTTTCGCGCAGTGTCGGCTTCTCAGGTTTTCATGCAATGTCAGCTTCTTTTCTCAGTAAATCATGCAGTGTCGGCTTCTTTTCTCAAATGTCGCTTCAATTCTTCAATATTTCACACAATGGTCTAGCGCTATCTCAGCTCAATTCTACCACCCAACATAAGTTCACTCTCATGCACTCTGGGACTTACGTTCTTTATCTAATGCTTGGCAGCGGGAATTCTATTCAGAGTTTCACTCAGTGTAGATTACTTTCCCCTCGACCTGGCTTACATCACCACCTGCGTCAATGTTGGCGTCACATGCAGCGACAGTGGCCACGTCAGGAAAATGTCAGTGCTGCTGCTGCTGCTGCTGCTGCTGCTGCTCATGCCGTCGCTGGTGCTGATGCCCATGTTACCGCAGGAGGAGTACGAGATGCTCGCGAGTGACGCTTTCTTGCCTTGACTCGTGGCTGTTGTGCCCGCAGCCAATGGCAGAGCATGGCAATTCAAGGGGAGCTGCCTTCAGAGATTTTCCAGCTGGTGCACCTTGAATACCTGTGAGCGTCTGCGCTTGAAGCATGAAGTATGAATGTGCTCAACGCTGATGCTGCGCTTGAGGCACAGCTCACTTATTCCTTTCATGCATCAATCTCTTCGTGCGGGCACTTGACGGCACTTGAGGGCACTCGAGGGCACTTGAGGGCATGCATGCAGTATGAATGTACCGCATGAATGTGATCAACGCTGATGCGTGCGACCAACGCTGATGCATGTTATCAACTCTGATGCATGTTATCAACTCTGATGCATGTTATCAACTCTGATGCATGTTATCAACTCTGATGCATGTTATCAACTCTGATGCATGTTATCAACGCTGATGCATGTAATCAACGCTGATGCATGTGATCACCGCTGATGCATGTGATCAACGCTGATGCATGTGATCAACGCTGATGCATGCGGCCAACTCTGATGCATGTGACCAACGCTGGTGTGTAAACCGTTCGCAGGTCTCTGCGAGACAACTACCTGCGTGGCTCCATCCCCTCTGAAATCGGCAACCTCGTCAATCTCACATATCTGTCAGTTCGCTTCGCCCCTCTTAGCGTTGTTCCCTCTGTTAGTTGAGTTCGCCCCCTGTTGCTTAGCGTCGCCCAGCTCTCAGTTAATTTCGTCCCTCTGTCAGTTAACGTTGCCTCTCTCTCAGGTACCTTCACCCGTCTCCCAGTTAACTTCACCCGTCCCTCAGTTAACTTCACCCCTCATTCAGTTAGCATCGCCCCTCTGACAGTCCTTTGTCAGTACTGACACGCCTCGAACGGTCTCTCTGATTGGTGTTTCTGTGAGTCATGTGTGTATTGTGTGTGTATGTGTGTGTATGTGTGTGTGTGTGTGTGCGCGCGCGCGCGCGCGTATCTGTGTGCGTGTGTGTGTGCACGTGTGTGTGTGTGTGCGCGCGCGCGCGCGTGCGCGCATGTGCGGTGTGTGCCTGTGCATGTGTGCGTGGATGTGTGAGAGTGTGTGCGTACATTTGTGCGAGTGTGTGCATGCATGTTTGCACGCATACGCATGTGTCTGAGTGTGTGGATGAATGTGTGTGTGTGGATGCACGCACGTGTGTGTATGCGATTGTGTGGCATGCATGCATGGCAGGGATCTCTCCAACAACTCCTTCTCAGGCCCCTTCCCCACCTTCTTCAGCAAACTCACCAAGCTCTCCATCCTGTCAGTTAACGATTCCCATCCCACCTGTCAGCTAATAATTCCTATCCTACCTGTCAGTCAACATTTTCTACCTGTCAGTCAACAATTCCTTGCCTGTCAGTCACAATTCCCCTCTATCAGTCAACAAGTCCTCCCCGCCAGTCACATTTTTGTCCCTGTCCTCTTGTACCAAAATGTGCCTGAGAGGGACGAAAATGTGACTACATTTTCATCCCCCTCTCAGGCACATTTTCGTACCTGTCAGTCGCATTTTCGTCCCTGTCAGTCAGGCATTTCGTTAAGCCATCCACTTCCACCAGCTGGCGAGTTGCCAGTTGGCTCTACCCGCTCCTATGTCCTGCCATGCCATGCCATGCCATGCCGTACCATGCCCTGCCGCCCCTACCACCAGGTACATGTCGTTGAACAAGTTTTCGGGCAGGCTTCCAGATGCCATCGGCAACATGGTCTCTCTCGTCGTCCTGTATGTGTGTGCCGCCCGGCATGTATGTGTGCCGCCTGACATGTATGCGTGCAGCCTGGCATGTGTGTGTGCCGCCTGGCATGTATGTGTGCTGCCCGGCATGTATGTGTGCCGCCCGGCATGTATGTGTGCTGCCTGGCATGTGGGTGTGCCGCCCCGCATGTATGTGCGGTACCAAGCATCCACGTCTACACCTCGCCCTCCCTCTCTTCCGTTTTCTCCTTCCAAGCACCCATGTCTTCTCCCTCTGTTTTCTGCCCCTAGCCCCATCTACACCCCCTTCGCATCATCCTCTCCCTTCTCTCCCCTCTCCGTCCTCTCCCTCCTCTCCCTCCTTTCCCTCCTTTCCCTCCTCTCCCTCCTCTCCCTGCTCTCCCTGCTCTCCCTCCTCTCCCTCCTCTCCCTTCTCTCCCTGCTCTCCCTGCTCTTCCTCCGCCTCTGCAGGGTCGTGAAGGAAAATGACTTCACAGGGTCACTGCCCACCGTAATGGGGCGCCTCACCAACCTCCAGCACTTGTGAGCCGCCCGTCACGAATTAGCCTATCTGAGTGACCACGTGAGCATCTGAGTGACCACGTGAGCATCTGAGTGACCACGTGAGCATCTGAGTGACCACGTGAGCATCTGAGTGACCACGTGAGCATCTGAGTGACCACGTGAGCATCTGAGTGACCACGTGAGCATCTGAGTGACCACGTGAGCATCTGAGTGACCACGTGAGCATCTGAGTGACCACGTGAGCATCTGAGTGACCACGTGAGCATCTGAGTGACCACGTGAGCATCTGAGTGACCATGTGAGCATCTGAGTGACCATGTGAGCATCTGAGTGACCACGTGAGCATCTGAGTGACCATGTGAGCATATGAGTGACCATGTGAGCATCTGAGTGACCACGTGAGCATCTGAGTGACCACGTGAGCATCTGAGTGACCACGTGAGCATCTGAGTGACCACGTGAGCATCTGAGTGACCACGTGAGCATCTGAGTGACCACGTGAGCATCTGAGTGACCATGGGAGCATTGGTGAGACCATGTGAGCATCGGTGAGACCATGTGAGCATCGGTGAGACCATGTGAGCATCGGTGAGACCATGTGAGCATCGGTGAGACCATGTGAGCATCGGTGAGACCATGTGAGCATCGGTGAGACCATGTGAGCATCGGTGAGACCATGTGAGCATCGGTGAGACCATGTGAGCATCGGTGAGACCATGTGAGCATCGGTGAGACCATGTGAGCATCGGTGAGACCATGTGAGCATCGGTGAGACCATGTGAGCATCGGTGAGACCATGTGAGCGGCCCCAGTACAGCCCTTGTCAGCTCTGCAGCCTGTGAAGGCCTTTTAATGATGTGATCTGCATGTATTTTCTCAGAATTCATCCTTCAACGGCCTCCCCTCAGTCATTGTATCGTATCCCAGTCACTATCATATCGCCCCCGTGTGCGCATGCCAAATGACATGTGTGCATACAGAGGCGTGTCACACAACCGCCTGTCAGGGACCATCCCCCAGTCCTTCTCCACCATGGCCAGCCTTAGCACCATGTGAGTCTCACCTCCATGCCATGCATGCCATGCCATGCCTTGCCATGCCTTGCATTGCCATGCCATGCCAGGCCATGCCATACCACGCCATGCCATGCCATCCTGTGCCATGCCATGCCATACCATGGCATCCCATGCCATGGCATGCCTTGCCATCCCATGCCATGCGACCCATGCGATGCTATGCCATGCTGTGTCTCAGCTCCATGTGAGTTACAGCTCCATGTGAGTCTCAGCTCCATGTGAGTCTCAGTTCCATCTAAGTCTCAGCTCCATGTGAGTCTCAGCTCCATGTGAGTCTCAGCTCCATGTGAGTCTCAGTTCCATCTAAGTCTCAGCTCCATGCCGCGCCATGCCATCCACTCCATGAGCACCGCCATTATCTGCCACCATCCTGCCAATCAGCATCCATCATACCACCCGCCACATCTACCACGGACCAATGTCGCAGCAATACCCTTTTCCACCAATGTCACAGCCCCATGCGCAACACCCCATGTTCCCCCCTCCCTCCACGGCAGTTGGCTGCACAACAACATGTTTTCGGGGTCACTGGCGCCCCTCGCTGCTCTCTCCTACCTCAGCTTCGTGTGAGCACTTATCTCGCCCTCCATGCATTATCAGCACTTCTCTCGGCCTCTGTTCCCTGTCCGTTCAACAGGCTCTTTTCCTGTCTTCACCAAAACGCCTTTACCACTCTCTATCTCTCCTTCTTTGTCTCCCCATTGCCACTTGCAGCTTCCTATGCTGCAACCGCCTCAACGGATCCATACCGTCCACATTCGACTTTTAAGGCGCCTCAGAAGTTCTCCCTTTTCCCATTGCCACGTGCAGCTACCTGTGTTGCAACCGCTTCAACGGGTCCATACCGTCTACCTTCGGCAGCAGCTTCTTGTACACCTTGTATGCCTCTTACTACAGTACCTTGTGCCATGCGTCGAAATCATGTGTCATGCGTCGACATCATGTGTCATGCGTCGACATCATGTGTCATGCGTCGACATCATGTGTCATGCGTCGACATCATGTGTCATGCGTCGACATCATGTGTCATGCGTCGACATCATGTGTCATGCGTCGACATCATGTGTCATGCGTCGACATCATGTGTCATGCGTCGACATCATGTGTCATGCGTCGACATCATGTGTCATGCGTCGACATCATGTGTCATGCGTCGACATCATGTGTCATGCGTCGACATCATGTGTCATGCGTCGACATCATGTGTCATGCGTCGACATCATGTGTCATGCGTCGACATCATGTGTCATGCGTCGACATCATGTGTCATGCGTCGACATCATGTGTCATGCGTCGACATCATGTGTCATGCGTCGACATCATGTGTCATGTGTCGACATCATGTGTCATGCGTCGACATCATGTGCCATACTCCATGCGCGATTCACCATGGCATGCCCTGCCTCCTCTCTCCAGCAAGCATCCATACATCTTGCTCCTCACATCCATTTCGGCCCTTTGCTGTCACGCCTACTCATTACACCAACTCCTCCTTCTCCTTCTGGTCCATCCTCGCCTCATCTTCTTCTCCCTCCCACCTCCACCCCCCCGCCCCCCTCCTCACCACATGTCAGCGAACGGCCTCGCAGGTCCCCCCTCCCACACCCAAAACTCACCTCGTCCCTCCTCCCACACCCACCCCTCCTCCCACACTAACCCCTCCTCCCACACCCACCCCTCCCCCCTACCATGGTCTGCCAGTGATGTGTCAGTGAACGACCTCACAGGACCCCTGCCATCCAGCCTCGGGTTCACCGTAGATGCTGTCAGCCCAAAATTGTGAGTCCCCTCTACTTCTCACCCCTCGGCTTCTGGTCCCTCTGCTTATGACCCCTCTGCTTCTGACCCGTCTGTTTATCACCCCTCTGCTTCTCACCCCTCTGCTTCTGACCCCTCTGCTTCTGACCCCTCTGCTTCTGACCCCTCTGCTTCTGACCCGTCTGTTTCTCACCCCTCTGCTTCTCACCCCTCTGCTTCTGACCCCTCTGCTTCTGACCCCTCTGCTTCTGACCCCTCTGCTTCTGACCCCTCTGCTTCTGACCCCTCTGCTTCTGACCCCTCTGCTTCTGACCTCTCTGCTTTGAAGCCCTCCGCTTGTGAGGCACACTCTATCCCTTCCATCCAAATGCTTTTCTTTCCAACCTGATCTCTATCCTCCTTTCCCTGCCTATCGATTCCCGTCACTGTGTGCTGCTGTGCTGTGCACCCCTGTCCCTCTGCTCCCGTGTCTGCCCATTGTGCCTCCCTGTCCATCCCTGTCCATCCCTCTGCACCCCTGTTTGGCAGCAACACGTCATTCAACCGCCTCTCGGGGGAAATCCCCTTTGACTTCATCAATGTCAACTTCTACATTCTGTGCGTCACCCCTTCGCCTCCTTCATCCTGTGCTCGCCCCTCCCCCCTTGTTTCATGTGGTTCTTAAGAACTCTCGGAAACCACATGCAACAAATCTCCCTTCCCTCGTGTGAAAAGTCGATTTTTGGGTCGACTAAAAAATCGACTTTTAAGTCGACTAAAAGCTTGACTTTTGAGTCGACTAAAACTCGACTTTTGAGTCGACAAAAAAATCCACAAGCAACAAATCGCCCTTCCCTCCTCTCCCTTGAACAGTCCTTTGGTCATCGAATAAATTTGTAAGAGCACAGCAAAGCCAGGTCCATAATGCGAATATCAACATCAGAACGTGACAAGCTGCTAGGAAAGCGGCCCAGAGGGCTGAGCTTTGGCAAGCCCCCACCACCTTCGCCCCCACCACCCTCGCCCTACATCTCTTCTTGAACCCAGGATTTAGCCACCCCCTAACCTTGTTTTCGCACCCCCCACCCCCCCCCATCTCGCAGTTCCCTCTCCCGAACCATTTCTCTGCTCTGTTTGAAGCGCCTCAAACGTGGCCCCTCCCCTGCCTTGGTTTCCCTCCCCAGCGACATCTCTCACAACAACTTATCGGGCCGAGCGTTCTTTTCCAAGCCAAATGGGGACCTACTACTACTACTACTAACGCCATGTATGTGAGATATGTCAGTAGCTTGGTGGTGAGCGCGTGTACAGCACAGCACACTGATCATGAATGCGTGAGCAGTCAACCACAGCAACATACAATCACCAGCCACTGAATGTGACAACCCATTCTGCTCTGCACAATCTCTCCTTCCACCATCGCACCAACCACCATTCCTTCCCATCCGCTCGACACCCTCATTCCGCCACACCAGTGCAACCATTATGTCGGACACTCACCCATGCCTGTCCATCCATCCATCACTCTCCATTCCCGACCCTGTCTCCCTAACCCCCTGCACCCGTCACAACCCTTCTTCATTCCCTCTGCACTGCTCGCCTCCTCCATCTGCCAGCAATTACTCGCACAACAGGTTCTCAGGAGCGCTCGACCCCTCCCTCTCCACCCTCACCAACCTCCTCGAGCTGTGCGTTGCCCTCACCTTACCACATCTCTGCCCTCCCGCCCTTCCCACCTGCCACCTCCGCATTGCCTTGCCCTTCCCACCTGTCTACGCACTATGCATATCCCTCTCTGTTGTCTTGTCCCTCACTCTCCTGCCTCACACCCATGCTTTCCTCAACCCCCTCCCCTCCCCCCCATTCCCTCTCTGTCTCTCCTATCACAGCCCCATGCCCCTCTGTATGGTATAGCTTCTCCTATCACCGCCCATACTCTCCGTGTTTCCTCCCCACCATATCCCTGTCCTCTCTCTCCCCCCACAGGGACATGTCAGGCAACCTTCTCACGGGGTCCATTCCAACCGTCATCTTTGAGGCGGCCCAGAAATTGAGGCGATTTTAGGGGCGCCTAACAACGTGTCCCTGTGTTCCCTCTTTCCCCCTCCCCCCAGGGACATGTCGGGCAACCTCCTCACAGGGTCCATTCCAGCCTTCATCTCACGCCTTACCGACCTCACTATGCTGTATGCTCTTGTTTTGCTTTGCGCCCTCGCTCTGGTGTCCATTATTCATGCGGGGGTGCATGCAATGCATGGGTGGTAGAGCAAGGTGGAGTGAGGATGTTCATTCTCACACTCCTTGCCGCTCCCCTTTCCCACAATGGCCTCTCTCCTCGCATGCACCCCTCTCCCTGCCCTCACTCCACTCCTCACCTCCACACCTCTCCCTGCCCACATTCCACTCCCAACCACCTCATTCCACCCCTCTCTCCCGCCCCTGTGGCCGCCCTCCCCACCTGCAGCGACCTCTCTTCCAACCAGTTCACTGGCACCGTCCCGCCAGCTGTCAGCAACCCCACTGGCCTCGTCAGCATGTGAGATGACTCGTCAGCAAATGTGAGGTGCCATGTCAGCATGTGAGATGACGACATGTGTGTGAGCATGTGTGGTGGTATGTGCGTGTGTGACATTGCACGTATGGTACGTCTCTGTCACATCTTATCTTAATATTGGCAACTCCTGCTCCTACCCACCGCCACCCACCCATGTCTACCCCCGCCCACCCTCGTCCACCCCATTCTCCCCCCTTGACCAGCAACCTGGCGCACAACCTCCTGCAGGGCTCAATTCCCCGGGCTCTCTCGCGCCTCGCCTCCCTCACCTACCTGTGCGCCCTCCTCTCCCTTGCTCGCCACTGCTCCTGCTCACCATCTCATGTCTTGCTCCATGTCATGCACCACGTCATGCCATGCAATTTTACTCGATTCTTCGCACTGGCATGCCCACTTGCATGCCGTATGCCATACCTTGTGCGAAATATCATCACCTAATAACCTATACCCCATACTCCACACCCTGCGCTTCATTCCCTGTACCCTATGCCCCATGCATGCCCCCTCCCAGCAACGTGTCATCCAATCAGCTGTCAGGAGACATCACACCGGCACTCTCTCCTCTGCGCTCCCTCGAGATTGTGTGAGGCGCTCGTGTGGGCAGGGGCGTGGGGCTTGTTGTATGGAGCTTGTGGCATGGGGCATGGGACATGGTGCATGGGGCATGGGCCATGGAGCATGAGGCACGGGGCATGGCACATTGGGCATGAGGCATGGGCACGGCACGGTGCAGGGGGCACATTGTACCAGCTTACCACACCATTAATTTCCCTATGCTGTATCACTATGGGTGTTTTGCGTTCCTGCACTCCGCATTCTCGTATCCCCTTGCCTCCCATTGCTTCATCTCCCCTAAATCTCTGTCATTTACCCCCCATGCCCTGCCATTCTCCCACATCCCTCATGCCCTGCCATTCTCCCCCATTCCCCCATGCCCTGCCATTCTCCCCCATCCCTCCATCCCCCCATGCCCCGCACCGCAGTGACATCTCAGCCATCGAATTGAACGGCTCTGTTCCGCCCTTCTTTCGTCGCATGCCCAACATGACCCACCTGTATGATTCAGCATGACCCACCTGTATGGCATGACTCACCTGTTTGGCATGACTCACCTGTATGGCATGACTCACCTGTATGGCATGACCCACTTGAATTTGAATGGCCACGACATGCCTATGTGCATGTATTTTTCCTATATGGACTTTGCATGCCTGTATGTAAACCACTATATTATTTCCCGTGGAGCATGTCGTGTTTTGACATGTCATGACAACTAATCTCAGCATGCCACGTCATGACATCTGATGTCAGCATGAGCCGCCCACCCAAGACCCACAGCAGAGACACATGGGCATCCATCCTCGCCCATGCCATTATCGTGTATGTACATTTACACGATACTGGCATGCCATGGGGCGACTGTGGTACAATCGCCCCATGGCCCCATGACCCATAACGAGGGCCCACCCCTTAACCTTGTCTGTGCCACGCCATGGCAGGGACATGTCCATCAACCTACTCTCCGGCTCACTGCCACCCTCGATCCTCAACCTGCGACAGCTCTCCCATCTGTCAGTCAACTTCCGTATCTATACCACCCATCAGTAATTTCGGCGTCAGAACAGCAGCTACTAGCAACCAGCCATTCATCTTCACCGTTGGTCCTCATGTAGTCTCACCTCCGCCCCTCTGTCCTCTCTCCCCCTGTCCTCTGCCACAACTCACCATGCCAGCAATGTGTCTCGCAACCGCCTCTCAGGCCCTCTGCCCAACGCTGCTGCCAGTCCAGCTCTCATCATGTGCGTATGCCCTGGTAACCACAAGAACCCTCGTAACCACAAGAACCCTGGTAACCACAATATCTCTGGTAACCACAAAGCCCTGGTAACTACCATTCCATTTGAATCTTGCGAGTAGGAACTCCCATCCCCTTCCCTCTCCCTCCCCTTTCCCTCCTGCACCCTTCCTTTCCTTGTGCGTGTTCTCTCACCCGTCGCTTTTTCTTCTCCCATTTCCGCCCACCCACGTGTCTCTCTCTCCCTTCTACTCCCATCCATGCTCTCTCCCATGTCTCCCTGAACACGCATCCAACACGCTCCCATCCCCTTCGCAGCGACCTCTCATTCAACGCGCTCTCAGGGCCGCTGGAGAGGCCCCATATCAACCTCAAGCGCCTGGCCATGCTGTGAGTGTGGGGCCACGCTGTGAGTGTGGGGCCATGCTGTGAGTGTGGGGCCATGCTGTGAGTGTGGGGCCATGCTGTGAGTGTGGGGCCATGCTGTGAGTGTGGAGCCATGCTGTGAGTGTGGGGCCATGCTGTGAGTGTGGGGCCATGCTGTGAGTGTGGGGCCATGCTGTGAGTGTGGGGCCATGCTGTGAGTGTGGGGCCATGCTGTGAGTGTGGAGCCATGCTGTGAGTGTGGGGCCATGCTGTGAGTGTGGAGCCATGCTGTGAGTGTGGGGCCATGCTGTGAGTGTGGGGCCATGCTGTGAGCGTGGGGCCATGCTGTGAGTGTGGGGCCATGCTGTGAGTGTGGGGCCATGCTGTGAGTGTGGAGCCATGCTGTGAGTGTGGGGCCATGCTGTGAGTGTGGGGCCATGCTGTGAGTGTGGAGCCGTGCTGTGAGTGTGGGGCCATGCTGTGAGTGTGGAGCCATGCTGTGAGTGTGGAGCCATGCTGTGAGTGTGGGGCCATGCTGTGAGTGTGGGGCCATGCTGTGAGTGTGGAGCCATGCTGTGAGTGTGGGGCCATGCTGTGAGTGTGGGGCCATGCTGTGAGTGCCTGGCAATGCTGTGAGTGCCACCACATGCCGTTGCTCTTACTCTCATCAGCCCGGCTTCGATGCTCGTGCTGTCTTTGAGTCGTTTGTGCTCTTCTTGCTTTGCTTGCGTCCCCTGCCCCGCCATCGTGCATGCCTCCCCTTCTCGCCCACCCGCCCCCCATTCCTCCCCCCTGCCTCTCGTCCATCCCCCATGCGCCCTCTTGCTTCCCTTCCCGCCCAGCCCCCATTCCGCTCCTGCTCAGCCGCCCATCCCTGCTTCCCGTCCCCCCCCACCCTCCCCCTGCGTCCCGCCCCCCCCCACCCTCCCCTACTTTCCGTCCGCGTCCCCCCCCCCCTGCTTTTCCTCCGCCCATGCCTGCAGGGCGGTGCACCACAACCAGCTCAGCGGCCCCATCCCCGAGTACCTCTGCCAATCCGTGCTGCAGATCATGTAACGCCCACACCCTAACGTTCACATGCTGTAACGTTCTCATGCACTAACGTTCACTAGGTGCAACGCGCTCATTATGCAATGTTTGGATAGTGTAATGCGCAGATGACTTAGCATTCACACAGTGTAGCATTCAGGTTATGTTACCCTCAGGCCCAGTAGCAAGCAGGCAGGTATGAATGTGGACATCCAGGTAGAGAGATGCCTTGGTGACAATAAAGGCTTGTCATCCATGTGAGATGCTCTTTATCGTGCAAGCAAAGGCTTGCACTGGTGACAATGCATTGCACAGGCAAAAACGCGTTGCACTTTCACCCTGCGCTAGTTGCCTCCTCCCTACTGCCATCCTTTTGGGTGCTGACATCTACCCACACCATCCATCTTGTTTGCTTCCTCACCCCTCGCTCCCCTCACCCTCACCTCCACTCTCGCGTTCTCCTATTGCCTCTTTTGCCCCATGTCTCCACCTGCCCACCTTCCCACCTGCCCACCTTCCCACCTGCCCACCTTCCCACCTGCCCACCTTCCCATTTGCCCACCTTCCCATTTGCCCACCTTCCCATTTGCCCACCTTCCCATTTGCCCACCTTCCCACCTGCCCACCTTCCCACCTGCCCACCTTCCCATTTGCCCACCTTCCCACCTACCCACCTTCCCATTTGCCCACCTTCCCATTTGCCCACCTTCCCATTTGCCCACCTTCCCATTTGCCCACCTTCCCACCTGCCCACCTTCCCATTTGCCCACCTTCCCATTTGCCCACCTTCCCATTTGCCCACCTTCCCACCTGCCCACCTTCCCATTTGCCCACCTGCCTCCTCCGTCCACCTGCAGGCTCCTGAGCAGCAACGCCTTCTGGGGGGCCCTCCCTCAGTGCCTGCCCTTCCTCTCCTCCGTCCAACTCATGTCCGTTCTCCTATTCAGCCTTCGCCTTTCAACCTTTGCCCTTTGCCCTTTCAACCTTCACCCTTCAACCTTCACCCTTCAACCTTCGCCCTTCGCCCTTTCAACCTTCGCCCTTCGCCCTTCAGTTTTGCCTCCTTCGCTCATCACCATGACGTTGTTCTCGTTCCTCTTTCTCCCCGCTGCTCCTCGTGTCGCACTCTCGTTTGTAACCCTGACCTCCAATTGTGCTGTGAATTCCTTGCCCTTACCTTCCACGCCATCTCCGCTCCTGACCTCTCTTCTTCCCCTTGACCCCTGCGCCCCCTTACTCTGCGCCTGTCTCCCAGTGACGTCAGCAACAATCTGATCTTCATGGATGCCGCAACCTTCCAAAACATGCCGCCAATCAGCCTGGATCTCAGCGGCAACTACCTCTACGGCTCCCTCTCCCCCTCCCCCAACATCACCCTCTCCTCCTCCTCCTCCTCCTCCTCCTCCTCCTCGCCACCCATCCCCTCTCTCGTCCTCCCTGCGACCCCCCAACCCCAGTCCCTTCCCCCCTGGGCAGTCCAGGATGCAACGAAATCTGAGTGGGCGTGGGTATGGCAGGGGGGGCAGCAGGGGGCAACTGGAGCAGGAGGGGCGAGCGGGGGGAATAGCAGCAGCGCAGCGGCGTGGCTGGCTGTGGAGGGCAACTGTGTGGGGAGTGAGGTTGTGGGGCAGCAGCGGGGGGCAACAGAGTGTGCGGCGGTGTGTGGGATAGAGCCAGGGCAGGGCCCCTGTGGGGGTGCGGGTGAGGGGCAGTGTGTGGTGCAGAGCGGTTGGCCGCCGTCCCTCTCGTGCTCCTGTGCCAGTGGCTACGTTGCTGTCACTGCTGTCGGCACTGCCAATACCACCACTTGCCAGCTGCCGCCCCCTTCCGGTATGTTGAAACAGTGGCTTGAGCTCTTGCCCCCCTATACAGTGTCTACCCAACCCTCTTTGCTGCCTTCTTTAGCTTCACTCCCACTCCATTTTTCCATTCCTTGGCAGTGGCCTCTCTGTCCACGGGTGCCATAGTGGGCATCGTTCTGGGCTGCTTTGCTGGCTTCACGCTGCTGGCTGCTATGCTCGCATGGTTGCTGTGGCCCCGCGGACCAAGTAAGCCCCTCCACCCTCCTTCGGCTCCTTTCCGTCTCCCCTAATGTTGTACCTGCTTCCTGGCCTCCTTCTCTGCTTAATTTCCCTGCCGTTTTTCCTGCGTTACAACTTTGCCTTTCCACGACCCTCATGTTCTCTCCACTCATCTACACACTTGGTCACTCATTAATCTTGGTCGTTCTCTCCCACATCTGCTGTGTGCACAGAGAAGTGGGAGGGGTTGGATGTGTGCGAGCAGTTCTCGCTGCAGCAGATGCTCAAGGCCACCAGCAACTGGTCCGAGGACAATGTGCTGGGCAAGGGTGGCTTTGGCATTGTCTACAAAGGCTGCTCGCCGCAGGGGCAGCTGTGGGCCATCAAGCGCTCCACCATCATGACCAACGACTTTGAAACGGAGGTCAGGCATTCCTCTACTCCCTGTTTTCCCTCCACAGAGCACAGAAGTATAACGGTACTCTCTGTTGTCCAAAATGCTGACCTGCAGATTCCACGTTCGCCTGTCAATTTCCCTCTGCATCTGCCTGCATTGTGTTCCGTGTGCATGTTGCAGGTGCGAGCCATGGCCTCTCTCCACCACGTGCATCTGGTGCGCCTGCTGGGCTTCTGCCTGGACCAGAACGTGGAGACGGGCAGGCAGGAGCAGATTCTCGTGTACGAGTTCATAGACAACAGGGACCTCCAGTACCACATCCATGCCACCAAGCGTGAGTAGCACTCGCACGATGGCAAAATGGTTGCCGGTCGTGTGTGTATATATATGTATATACATTCTGCACAGAGCATGACACCGTCTCTCATATAACTGCGCGTTCTGCTCCATGTACGTCTTTCCTGACCCAGGTCCGCTCTCTCTGCGCCAGAGGCTGCGCCTAGCACAGGGAACAGCAGAGGGCCTGGCATACCTGCACGGTTTTGACACGACCATCGTGCACCGCGACATCAAGCCGGCAAACATTCTTGTGACAGCCGACATGCAAGCCAAGGTGGCTGACTTCGGGCTGCTCAAGCGCCTCACTCACGGCGATGCTGACGCCACACGAGTGGCCGGCACTCCGGGCTATGTGGACCCGGACTACAACCGCACCCACATCATCACAGCCAAGAGCGATGTGTTCAGGTTCGCATGCACGCTCGTGCTCAATCCCATGAACTGGTGCACCTCACTTGTTTTCTGATCTTCCTGCTTGATGCTGAATACTTGTACCATGCACCTCTCTCTCTCTCTCTCTCTCTCTCTCTCTCTCTCTCTCTCTCTCTCTCAAACGGTCCTTTGTATTGATTCAGCAGGGGTACAAAAACATGCAGTGCAATCCATGATAACCTCCTTCCCTTAAGCCCCTTAGCTCACCCCTCTTCCCTCCCCCCCCCCTGAGTGACCCTCTAGCCCTCCAGCGTGTGGAGGATGTCCCCCAGGTGCAGTGGCCAGGGGTCCGCCGCCATCTGGGGGTGCGCTGCCTCGATCCCAGCCCTGGCCTTGGTGTGCAGGGCATTCGCTTGGGAGCGCTGGAGGGCCACTGACCAGCGTTGGCTGAAGTGGCAGGCCATCTTCTTGGCCGATTTGGCCAAGGGGTTGGCCCTGAACCTGTTCCTAGCCGCTGCTGTGGCCAGCAGTTTCAGGAACGCCGTCGTGGGGGGCGCGTTTGCCCCATAGGTCTCGACGACCAGGGCGCAGAACACCACGTGTTCAGTGTGTCGGTAGTAGTCCCTCTCCTTCCGCTTCTGTGCCTCCCTTGCAGCCCAACCTGGGGGTTTGCGGGCCGTAGGGTCTCGGTTCTGCAGCACAGGGTCAGTGACAGTGGTGTCTGTGATCCAGGTCTCTCCGCTGTCCGGGTCTTGTACAATCACATCTGCCTTCTTCGGGTCATCCGGAGGTGAGTACATCGCTCTCTCTCTCTCTCTCTCTCTCTCTCTCTCTCTCTCTCTCTCTCTCTCTCTCTCTCTCTCTCTCTCTCTCGAATGGTCCTTGCATTTCTTTGAGGGGTGGTACAACGGAAGGTGCAAACACACAAGCACAACAAAAACCGGCATCCAAACTATCTCAAGTCCCCTACCTACTCAGCCCCCCCCCCTGTCCGACCCTACTGGTCGAACGGGGCCTCAATCAACTGGTGCAGCTGTCCCTCACTGAGGGGGATGATGGGTCCTCTAAAGCCGAGCTCGTCCGCCACCAAGGCCTCATTGGTCTTGGTGCGGAGGGCGTTGGCCTGCGCCCGCTGGAGGCACACGCTCCAGCGCTGGCGGTACTCCGTCAGAAGCTTCGCTGCTTCGTAGGAGGTAGGAGCTGCGTTAAACCGCAGCTTTGCCGCCAGCTCCGCGCATTGCCGCAGGTAAGCCAGCACCCCCGGCGAGGGGTAGCCGTAAGTTTCCACTGCGAGCGCGTGGAACCCCACCCACGCGTTCCGCCGCGCGTACTTCTCCTTTTTTGCTGCTGCCGCCCTGGCCGCCCAACCAGGAGCTCGGTTGCAGTTCTCGTCCTGGTATGACACCGGGTCCGTCACGGTCACGTCGCACATCCAAACCTCACCGGTCAGTGGATGACGGATGGTGACATCTCTCTCTCTCTCTCTCAAACGGTCCTTTGTATTAATTCAGCAGGGGTACAAACATGCGGTGCTATCCATGATAACCTCCATCCCTTAAGCCCCAAAACTCACCACTCTTCTCCCCCCCTGAGTGACCCTCTAGCCCTCCAGCGTGTGGAGGATGTCCCCCAGGTGCAGCGGCCAGGGGTCCGCTGCCATCTGGGGGTGCGCTGCCTCGATCCCAGCCCTGGCCTTGGTGTGCAGGGCATTCGCCTGGGAGCGCTGGAGGGCCACTGACCAGCGCTGGCTGAAGTGGCAGGCCATCTTCTTGGCCGATTTCGCCAAGGGGTTGGCCCTGAACCGGTTCCTAGCTGCTGCTGTGGCCAGCAGCTTCAGGAACGCAGTCGTGGTGGGCGCGTTTGCCCCGTAGGTCTCGACGGCTAGGGCGCAGAACACCACGTGTTCCGTGTGTCGGTAGTACTCCCTCTCCTTCCGCCTCTGTGCCTCTCTAGCAGCCCAGCCTGGGGGTTTGCGAGCTGTGGGGTCCCGGTTCTGCAGCACGGGGTCTGTGATAGTGGTGTCTGTGATCCAAGTCTCTCCACTGTCCGGGTCGCGTACAATCACATCGGCTTTCTTCGGGTCATCCGGCGGTGAGTACATGGCGTTCTCCAGGTATACCACCAGCTCTGCTTCCCTTGCCATTTTAGCCACGGCAAAAGCTAGCTGGTTGTGTGTGCGTGTCCTGTCGGGGCCTGTGCTGCAGCGGAGTAGGTGGTTGGGTAGGCTGCAGTCGGCTACGAGTTCTCCACACTCGCACACAGTGGGTACATTCTGTCGGATGCCCATGCGGAAGGCCAGGGCTGCTCGGAATTGTCCCGGTGAGAAGCAAAGGTCCGGGGTCAAAGGTAGGGCCTGCAGCCATGCTCCCGCTCCCTCCCCTCTCAGGCTGATGAGGCGGAGTGAGTGACCCATCTCGGGGGCTGACTGGATGGTGCGTGACTCCTCTGTCAAGGCGTCGGCCTTTGCCGCGTGCACCTCCTGAGAGAGGGCGCGTTGCAGCTGGTCTTGGGACGGGGTTTGCTGCTCCTCCCGGAGGTTTTGTAGCGCCAGCGGTGGCAGGCGCCCCTCCATGTCCTGGATGGTTACCGAGTGCGCTGCGGACGGCTGCAGGGTGTTGTTGTTGGCCCCCAGTGCCGCGGTTGCTGGTAGGTCAAGGGAGCGGAGCAGTCGTAGCGCCTCGGTCTCTCTCTCTCTCTCTCTCTCTCTCTCTCTCTCTCTCTCTCTCTCTCTCTCTCTCTCTCTCTCTCTCTCTCTCTCTCTCTCTCTCTCTCTCTCTCTCTCTCTCTCAAATGGTCCGTTGTATTAATTCAGCAGGGGTACAGACATGCAGTTCTATCCATGATAACCTCAATCCCATAAGCCCATCAACTCACCCCTCTTCCCCTCCCCTCCCCCCTGAGTGACCCTCTAGCCCTCCAGCGTGTGGAGGATGTCCCCCAGGTGCAGCGGCCAGGGGTCCGCTGCCATCTAGGGGTGTGCTGCCTCAATCCCAGCCCTGGCCTTGGTGTGCAGGGCGTTCGCCTGGGAGCGCTGGAGGGCCACTGACCAGCGCTGGCTGAAGTGGCAGGCCATCTTCTTGGCGGATTTCGCCAAGGGGCGGGCCCTGAAGCGGTTCCTAGCTGCTACTGTGGCCAGCAGTTTCAGGAACGCCGTCGTGGGGGGCGCGTTTGCCCCATAGGTCTCGACGGCCAGGGCGCAGAACACCACGTGTTCAGTGTGTCGGTAGTAGTCCCTCTCCTTCCGCTTCTGTGCCTCCCTTGCAGCCCAACCTGGGGGTTTGCGGGCCGTAGGGTCTCGGTTCTGCAGCACAGGGTCAGTGATAGTGGTGTCTGTGATCCAGGTCTCTCCACTGTCCGGGTCTTGTACAATCACATCTGCCTTCTTCGGGTCATCCGGAGGTGAGTACCTCGCATTCTCCAGGTATACCACCAGCTGCGCCTCCCTCGCCATTTTAGCCATGGCGAAGGCCAGCTGGTTGTGTGTGCGCGTCCTGTCGGGCCCTTGGCTGCAGCGGAGTAAGTGGTTGGGTAGGCTGCAGTCGGCTACGAGTTCTCCGCACTCGCACACGGTTGGTACATTCTGTTGGATGCCCATGCGGAAGGCCAGGGCCGCTCGGAACTGTCCCGGTGAGAAGCAGAGGTCCGGGGTCAAGGGTAGTGCCTGCAGCCACGCTCCCGCTCCCTCTCCTCTCAGGCTGACTAGGCGGAGTGTGTGGCCCATCTCGGGGGCTGACTGTATTGCGCGTGACTCCTCTCTTAGGGCGTCGGCCTTTGCCGCGTGCACTTCCTGGGAGAGGGCGCGCTGCAGCTGGTCCTGGGACGGGGTTTGCTGCTCCTCCCGTAGGTTTTGTAGCGCCAGCGGTGGCAGTCGCCCCTCCATGTCCTGGATGGTCACGGAGTGCGCTGCAGACGGCTGCAGGGCGTTGCTGTCGGCCCCTAGCGGCGCGGTTGCCGGTAAGTCCAGGGAGCGGAGCAGGCGCAGCGCCTCTGTTGTAGATGCCAGGTAGGCCGGTGCTGCTTCAGTTGTGGGGTCCGTAAGGCTCAGTCCGCCTAGGGCTACTGGGAGAGTTGCCTGTCGGAGAAGGAAGTTGAACTCGGCTTGTCGGCGTGGCGGTTGAATGCTGGCGGCGGTCAAGGCAGTGTTCAGTAATTCGGCGCACCATGTGTGCCATTCCGAGAGCGGTAAGACGTCAGCTGGGGTAGTGCGCAGCAGGTAGCCGACTCTGCGGCTGATGCAACGAGACAGTAGCAGGAGGGCGTGTTGTGGGTGGATGGACGCCAGAGAGCCCAAGGGGGCTGCCGCGCCTGTCAGGGTGCTGCGGACAAAATCTGAGCAGAAGCTCTGCGACCCCACTGGACTTCCCAACACCCGCACCCCCTTGCGGGTGAGGGGAAGGCCCTCGGGGAGTACGTCCCCTCCTAGCGGCACGGTGGACCACGCCGACGACTTCCTAAAGTTGCAGGTGAGACCGTCCCGTGCCAGCAGCGGCGTGAGCTCCCTGAGCGCTTCCAGCGTCGCCGCCGCGGGTCCAATCATGGTTATGTCGTCCGCGTAAGCGAGGACCGTGACTTCGGGGTGCTCCGTTGCTACGTGCCTGAGGTGCTGCTGGATAGACGCTGCGAATAACAGAGGTCCGAGGGGATCCCCCTGTCTGACTCCCCTTCCGCTGGTGAGTGCCGTGGAATTGAGGCATGGGTCCAGCAGCAGTGGTGAAGATGCTGCGTAGAAAGAGCGTGTGAAGGGGATTAGGGGAGCTAGTGGGGAGCCGATGAGTGCATTGAAGAACGCGCTCCTCTCTACTGAGTTGAACGCGTTCTCAATGTCGAGCTGGAGTACTAGGCTGGAGGGCTGCACCGTGGTGAGGTCTCGGACAGCATGGATGACAAATTCTGCACCTCCAGGGACTGCCACGCCAAATTGTTGAGGTAGGAAAAAAATTCGCGTTTCTCCTTGCAGATCTGAGAGCGCCACCTTCGCCGCCAGCCTAAGCAATGACTCTCCAATCGCAATGGGACGTACCCCCCCCCCTGGTTTGGCGAAGGCTATAAGGCGGGACGGGGCAAGTAGTGCTGCGACTTCAGTGGAAAGATTTGTCGAGAGAAGATGCGTAACGGCGGAGTGGAGGTGCCCTAGTACCTCGATGTTACTTAGCGCTGGATCGCGGTAGTGTTCGAAAGTTGACCCCGATGGGCCAGCCCCAATTCCCCTGGGGCATTCTCCAAGAACGTCGGAAAAGCGTTCCAGAGTGGTTGAGAATTGCGTGGGTGTGGTGTAGGAATGCACCCACTCGGGCAGGTCATTTTGGGGTTGGGGGTGTTTCGATTCCAGCTGCTGTAGTGTCGCAATTGTCGCAGGTGCTGAAGGCGAGGGTTGTAGGGCTGCTAACGCCTTTCGCAGGTTACCCCGTTTCACCAACCCCTCCGCACGTGAGCAGATTCACAGTGGGTCACGTTGGTGCTGAGGTGGTTCGGCCAGGTGCATTGACCCCAAGTAGTCAGTGTACAGCTGGGTCCAGTGGCCACATCGGAATAGATGCATCTGTTCCCGCAGCAGTTTCCATCTAGAGCTGGATCTCCGGCTAAGTCTTAGCGTGAGACGTGGCAGGAACATGAGGACCCGCCATGCTCCCGCGCAGTTAGGCAGCTTGGAGATCCGAATTAGGGCAGCCAGCATACAGGTGGAGTAGTCGTTGAGGATCTGCGGCGGCAGTCGGCGGACGATTGGTAGGTGGGTGGTGGAGGTTAGGAGTGTAAGGTCCCAAGTCATCGCGATCTGGAAAAGATCCTCCCGCGAGGCCAGCTGGGACGCCGATAGTGCCTGGTCCGGGGGAAGCTGAGCCCTGCGATGCTGTCTGCGGCCGGTTCCTCTCTCCTGTTGCTGCGCTTGCCCCTCTCCTTGTTCTGCGTGAGGTGAGGCGGGATCGTTTGGTTGCCTCAGATCTGACGGTATATAATCGTCTCCACTCCCCTCTGTGTTGATATCCCTGTTTCTCCCCGCTTGCGCTGGTGTTCCTCCCCTCGCCCCCCGCCTGGCGAATGACTGGCGCGTGACTCGTTCCGCCGGCTCCCCCAACCAGATTGGGCTCGGCAACTGGCAGGGCGGTCCCCTTCCCGCTTGGCCTGCGCTCCTCTGCCCTCCGCGCGCTCCTCGTCGCCCGCCTCTCCCCCGCGTGCTTCCCCGTCCGCTCCGCGGGGTAGCTGCCACAGGTTCCGCCTGTTGCGCCTGGGAGATCGGCGTTGTCGGCTCCTCGTGTGCCAGTGGAGCGTCTTGAGCGTTGGCCAATGGATTTCCTTGGCGCTCTTGGCCGCGACTGCACCGCGGAGAGCGATCCTGCTCCCCGTCCGCTTCCTCCTGCACGCCCTGCCGCGAGCGTGCCTGTTGCTCCGCCGGCGTCCGCTGATCAGATCCGCCGCCGCTTCGAGGACCAGCGGCGCGAGTTGGCTCCGCGCGCGGGCAGGTCCTTGTCACCGCGGGAGCCCCCGCGCGCGGGGTCCGTCTTGCGCTCCGGCGCAGAGGCTGTGGCGCACCAGGAGCGTTCGCCTCGCCGTCGCTCATCGGCAGCTCGCGACGATAAGCGGGAGAGCCGCTGCGATGATCGTCACGGTGCGGCCCGTTCGCCGCTGTCGCCTCGTTCGCCTCGTCGCGTGGCGTCGCGAAGCCGATCCCGTGACCGCCGTTCGCATCGTCATCGTTCGCCCCCTCACCGTTCATCTCGCCAGCGGTCGCCTGCCCGCCAGACGTCTGGGCGTCGGCCCCCAGCTCCGCGTTCGCCCCCTCCTGCAAAGCGCCAACGGCTCTACTCCCCTCGTCACGGGGACCGTTTTCCTGGCCGCCAGCGTCAGCAGGGCCCATCTCGCCCGCAGTCGCCTGTGCGCTCGAGCGCAAGTGGGCGTGCGCGTCGTGGGCGACGGGGGGGTGACAGTCGCGGCGGAAAAGCGCGTCCAGCGCCGTCCGCAATGGAGCGCCGTCTTCTGGATAGGCTTGATGACGTGGAGAAGGAGCTTCGACGCTCGCATGCGGGGTCGGCGTCACCATCAGCTCCTCGCGCTGCTCCCGTCGTCCCTCTCTCTGCGCTCTTGCCCCACAATCCCTTTGGATCCCCGGCGCGTTCAGAGCGGCCGCTGCCTGTGGGGATGGGCTTCGTAGGTGCAGGTGGCGGGCCGCCGTGGGCTCAGTTTGCTCCGCCGCGTCCTCTTCCTGCTCCGCGTGATCTCGCCGTGTCGTCTCACCGTGCCCGCGCGTCTGCGTTACTTCCGCCGATGAAGGAAGTTCCCACGGCGACCCTGGCCCGCTTATGGTCGCTGGCGGCGTCCCTGCAGAGCCTTGAGTGGATTCTCCAGGAGTCATTTGACTCCATGCCGGTGAGCCCTCCGAGCAGGTTCTCTCAGAAACCGCGAGCAGATTGTCATGCGGCGGCGTCAGCGCTATTCGCGCTCGTAAAGCCACTGCAGGTAGCGCCCTCGCCGGGAGCAACCTCGGCCAGCCAGCTGGCTGACTCGGCCCTGGCTCTGAGGACGCTTGTAGCAGGCCCTGGTACTCCTGTTGACGTTGTAGGCGCCACCGTGTCTGTGGTCCGCCAGTTGTGGTTGAACACGAGCGGAATGCTCGCTGCGGTAGAGGCGGACCGCATGTAGGCGCTCCCCCCTTGCGCGTATAGACCCGTTCCATCCTCTACTTGCTAAGTGTCTATGCTTGCTTTGTTTGTATCGGTTGCTTAAGCTACTACTGCTTGTTGTTTCCCCTTGCCATCCCTAACGCGCGGCCGAAGGCCGCGCACGCGAGCGCCGGCGGCCGAAGGCCGCCGGTGCGAAGCGCCAAAATTTTCAGCACTAACTGAAAGAATGAGAGATGGAGAGGCCGCCGTGGCCTTAAGTAGTCATGGCAGAGGGCAGAAAGCAGAGGGCAGAGGGTAGAAGGGGAGAGGCTAATCCTCTCTCTCTCTCGCTCTCTCGAACAACACCAAAATTTTCAGCACTAACTGAAAGAATGAGAGATGGAGAGGCCGCCGTGGCCTTAAGTAGTCATGGCAGAGGGCAGAAAGCAGAGGGCAGAGGGTAGAAGGGGAGAGGCTAATCCTCTCTCTCTCTCGCTCTCTCGAACAACACCAAAATTTTCAGCACTAACTGAAAGAATGAGAGATGGAGAGGCCGCCGTGGCCTTAAGTAGTCATGGCAGAGGGCAGAAAGCAGAGGGCAGAGGGTAGAAGGGGAGAGGCTAATCCTCTCTCTCTCTCGCTCTCTCGAACAACACCAAAATTTTCAGCACTAACTGAAAGAATGAGAGATGGAGAGGCCGCCGTGGCCTTAAGTAGTCATGGCAGAGGGCAGAAAGCAGAGGGCAGAGGGTAGAAGGGGAGAGGCTAATCCTCTCTCTCTCTCTCTCTCTCTCTCTCTCTCTCTCTCTCTCTCTCTCTCTCTCTCTCTCTCTCTCTCTCTCTCTCTTGAATTTATTCCTTTGAATTTATTCCTCTGTGTCCAATGCATGATTGCTTGCAGCTTTGGAATCGTGCTGCTTCAGTTGCTAAGTGGAAAATCAACCCATGTTGGCACTGACGAAAAAACGCATATAAGAAAATGGGTACGATCGTCAAGTATGAAATCCAAGGTTCCAGTTGGCGCAAATATGAATGTTGCATATCAGAGAATGTTTGTGCCCATCACAACTCAAATCTGTCTTTTCATTTCTTTCATGGCCGCACATTTATCCTGAATTCCCATTCACTCTGGATATCCTGCCTTTCCTTGCTGTCATGCTGCCTTCCACTGGATTTCCTGCTTATCAGTATTTCACCGCCTCCCCCATGCTTCATCCTTTCCTTGTGTGGATGCCCTGCAGGCGATGAAGAGGGTGGAGGCGTATGAGCTAGAGGAGCTGAGGGACAGCAAGATGCCAGCGGTCAGTGAGGAGGCGATAGTGGACTTTGCAGACCTGGCTCTGGACTGCATCAAGTCTCCCGGCACACGGCGACCCACCATGAAGGATGTGGCATACCGCCTCAGTGCCCTCATTGCCAAGCACTGCCCCGACAAGGAGGACGAGTGGGAAAGTGTTGCGAGAGACGAGAGTGCAAGCAACGAGGGTGTGTCTTCAGGAGATGTTCCTGCTGTGTCGTTTGGAGATGGTGGGAGGGAGCCCGAGGGGTCTGATGGCTCACACTCTGGTATGAGCTCATTCATGCTTGGCTCGATGGGTGATGGCCTCTTGAGTTGGCTGCAATTGAAGCCAACCAAAGGGCGCTGAGTTTGCCCATTATGCCTATATGTGGGTTCAGGGTTTAGAAGATTACCTTATTCTCCTGAGGCCTGACTAGGGTGTCACATGGTCTAGAACCACTTGGTGTTTGTCCTTGAGACTTTTCCACCCGTGTTCCCGTATCCTCATATTCCCATGCTGTGTTGATGTGGTGTTGCAGCACCACTTGAAAGGAGGACCCCTGGGTTGATCAATGCTTGGTGCTTGTTGCAGTTAAGCAGAAATTAGTCAGGAAGTCGTAGAAGACCGTAAGGAATTTTCTCGATATTCCTTAGCGCGCCCTGCAACATCGCGTACAGCAGCAGCCGTTGTTCGCCCGTTACCAGGCCCCTAGATTCGTTTTGAGGTAGTCTGACGCCTCAGAGTACACCCCTCTTCCTAGGCTGGCTGTCAGAGTTACCTATTTTTTTTAGTCTGAAAATTCAGACAAGCACAACTTTTTTTGTCTGAACTGTCAGAGTTACTTCAAATTTTAAGATGTTCATGCAGTTTCATAACAGCATAGTTATAATAGCATTGAAGCTGATTACAGCATACCAACACAATTGTGCGGCCAGAAATGGGGCACTCTGATTGGTCATTTTTCAAGAGTTAGGGCGGGTCAAACTTTGCACGTTTTCGCAGAAAACCCCACTCAACCATCTCGTGTTTAAATAAGACCGCTCTGGATCAAGCCTAAACCTCTTTGAACCGCAATCGGACGTACTCTTTTGACCCGCCCTTAGGAACACTGAGCAGCCAGGGTCGAGGTGTGGGCATCAGACAATGGCCTCGTGCAAGTGCCAAGTGTGGCAAGCTCACAATCATCTGACCTGGCAGCTCGGCACTTTTCTGTGCTGGGCGCACTGGCAGCAGCAGCAAGAGTTTTCAACTGTGTACACCGTATGTGCGCGGAATATTTTCTCCTAAAGTTGCAGCTTCGGGATTTTGACTCGGTTTGGCAAGGGGAAATGATGTGCGGTTCTGCTGAAGTACGAGACTCATACGTGACAAGGCTTTCATTTGCACCAATTCACTTTTCGCCATGTGCGATTCGCTAAAATCGTTTTGGCCATGTGCGATTGGCTATCTAGTTTCACAATTTAAGGGTTTTAATAAGCCCCCAATAAATTCCACTCTCGTGATAGCGTCGACAAAGTAGTGTATTCTGGTGCCCCTACTCGAGCAGTTTCATCCGGAGGAAAAGAAGTTTTGAGGAAGTTTCGTTCCGATAACCTTTCATTCAGGCTGGCAGAAATCCCTGTATAACTGGTTTCAGAGTGGATCCCCGATACAAGTCTGAGGCTCAGCATGCACTACTATGACTACTCTGAAATTTCAGACTAGTCAGTTAAAAAAACTCTGAAAAATCAGACAGGGTGCATAAAAAATTTCTTTGAGTTCAGACTAGGTAAAAAAAAAAAGTCTGAACGGACTCTGAATCAGACTCCAAAGTCTGATATCTAGGGCCCTGGGTGGAGGTGGGCTTGATTGTTTGAGAAGGTGATTGGCAGGTAAGAGGTGATAGCAGGCAATACCTCGTCTCAGACATCGTGCCATGTCTGTTTGCCCTTTACATTGTATCCCTCATCCCCCTCCCAACCATCCCTCATGCAGGTGCGAGAAGCGGCGATGCTGCGGCACGAGCACCTGGTGCAGTTGCTGGGGTACTGCATGGACTACAACATTGCCACAGGCCACCTGGAGCAGATCCTTGTCTACGAGTTCGTCCCCCACGGCAACCTCTCCAACTACCTCCACTCTCCTCCTGGTGCAACTCGAGTGTCCCTCTCCTTTGAGGAGCTCGTATGCATTTCACTGGGTGTGGCGGAAGGGCTGGCATACCTCCACCACTCGCTCTATCCTCCTATCGTGCATCGCGATGTGAAGCCCGCGAATATTCTCATTGGCGACGGCAAGACGGTGAAGCTGGGCGATTTTGGGCTGGTTATGACGGATAACCTGGAGGTTGCGATGCCTGGGTACTTGGACCCTGAGTATGGTGACGGCAAGATTGCAAGGACCGCAAGTGATGCGTACAGTTTTGGCGTTGTGCTGCTCGAAATGGTGTCGGGGAAGCGGGCAGTGCTAAACGGGAGTGACACCGCCTTCAGCAACCAACATATATCCATCTGGGTATGGTACTATTGTCCTTCCAGCCTGACACCATTCCAGAAAGTGCGGAGTCTCTTGCAAGCTCCTCTCTCGGCTGACTTTACTTACTCTCCATCCTCGATCACATGTGCAGGCAAACAAGCTTGTGATGGAGGGCAAGATCTCCAAAGTGGTGATGGAGGGACTCAAAGCCCCACGTGATGCCATCACCATGTTTATCGGTCTCGCCATGGATTGCCTGAAGCGGCCTGGAGCTCTAAGACCAAATATGCGGGACGTTGCACAGCGCCTCACCAACATTCTCGCCATTGTATCCAATAGGAGCTAATGTTGTGAAGCAAAGCCATGGACGGTTGGTGTTGGGAACGATTCAATTGTAAATGTTGTAGATAAAGCAGCGCAACCATTTCAGTAAGAAAAACGTTATGACCCTCACTATTCATGTTCAGTGTTTAAGCTATTTACTTGCGTGCTTCTGCTTAAAAATAGCTAAGCAATAAACTGTCTTTACCTTCAACATCACAACCTGTAGAAACGATCTGTGTAGCATGGATCAGCTAACTATGAAGACGCATATGTAGTTATCTCATTTATGGTACTTATCAGGCATGTCAGAGAACCTGCGGAACGGCGAATCTTTCCATCAGCCATTGGAGCATCTCCGAAACAAGCGACACCGTGATGACCGTTGCTCGGCAGAGCACAACTACGGTTCAAGAAAAGCTTGCATTTGCACAGCATGCTGTATTCAGCAAGTAGGTCGCACCGCAGGTTCTGTCAGTCAGGCAGCTTCTAATTCTTTAGTGAACCCGTTACGCTAATTTCTATTTTCCAGTCATCGCGATGGCGGACAGTGATACTGACTCTTCTGCAGATTCCGAGGAACTTGAAGAAGGAGAAGAAGAGCCCAGCTCGCTTACCTTCCGTTCTGATGGCGGTTGGCTGAAGCGCTTCTTTGACTCCGCCTTTTTCTGCGAGTGGATTGCCGTCACGTACCTTTTCAAGTAGGAATGGACACGAAGTTCTCCGTTGCAAGGACGAAAGAAGACGAATTCTAACGACCGTGTCGTTGCTGTTTCAGGCATCAGAACGGTGGCGTGCGAGACTATTTGTGCGACAGAATGTACTCGTTACCGTTGGAAGGAGTTCAGGACTACCTATTTCAGATTTGCTACCTCGCTGTCCACAAACCAAGTCCGTCTCTCGAAAAGTATACCACTGATGTCTGTTCCCAGTCGCTGCACTCATTCCTGCGGGTAAGGAATCCAGTAGAACAGCTGCATTTTACTTGTCTGTTAGAAATAACTTAAGTTTTGTTGTTTCTGTGTTCAGGTATACTGGTTTTTGTCAGCTGAGCTCACTGATCGACCCAACGACCTATCCGTTGCCACCATTCAAGCCAAATTCTACGAGGCTGCCGTGCAGAGTTCGGTTCCTAGCCTAAGATGTCCCAGACCACCACGGGTTTCGTTTTTCGGTCGCCAGAACGTGTTTCAACTCATGTCATCAGCCTCAAGGCGTCTGCTTCCCCTGCCTTCTGCCTCCTCCAGCTCCAGCCACGCTGCTGATGGCAAGCACACCATTTTAGCATCTGCACCGAGCTATGTTTGGGGAAGAGAAGTTTTGCAAAAGGGATCCGGCGAGCTCCCACCTCCCAAGAGCGTTGAATCCGTTCCGTCTCTTGAAGATGAGCCAAGCTCAGAAACGAATCTGAAGTCTGAACCGAGTGATGGCGTTGCTACGCATGAGTCAACATTTTGGCGCTTCCTCCGTGAAAGGAGGCTCAGCTCGCCTGCTACTGATACAAACCAGACCCGTCCAGAGAACATCACTGGCTGGAGCTTTTTGGGTGGAAGAAGGGAAGCAGCGTCAACCATTGTGGGCGAACTTGGAGCAGTGACAGAAGCAGATGAAACGCTTGCAGAGGAAGGAGTGAGTGGAGGAGTTTGCAGTCCATCATTGAACCAAGGAAGACGCAGTTCCGGAGGCGAAGCAAGAAGCACTGGTGTCATGAGGCGGCTCTTTTCAGTGGATGGCAATGGGGTGGAAACTCTTCGACTTTCTGATAGGAATGACACTTTCTTTCAGCGGTTATTTGGGGAGTCTTCTGAAAAAGCTGGACCGAGCTCACTGGATGGAAGCTTGCCGACAGCTTCAGCAGCAGAATCATCTGATGCCGCAGAAAATGGTTGTTCATCTGTCGGAGCAGGAGACTCTGCTGTAATTGATACAAGTGCGGCAGTTGCTGGAGGAAAAGATAATGAGCTTTTGAGAGATGGAACCGATGAGCCTCTTGATTCAAATGCTCAAAAAGGTCTTCTGCAGAGATTGACGGGTGCTGACTCACCTGAAAGGCCTGATCCATCCGACAAGCCAACAGAGCAGGCTCCGCAGGATGAGGGTGGAGCTGCAGTGGCAGCGGACAGCGAAAACAGCTTGCTCAAGTGGATGTTGTGGAAGAGACCTGGTGGCATGAGCAAGGAGGCAGTGACTCTGATTGGAGGAGATGCGCACAAAAATGAGTTTCAGTCAAAAGAAAACACCGGGAATGAGCACGTGGGGCTTTTAAGTCGCATTTTGCATGACAAGTCAGAACCCGCTGGTTCAACAAAGGAGCGGCTACAGCTTGGATCAACAGATGCAGCAGGATGTGATGGTTGTGAGGAGCAGATGGAGGGGGGGCAACGAAAGGAAATGCAGCAGCATCAAGCAGATTCCATGGCCTCATCAAGCACCACAGTGCTCAAAGCACTCGTTGCTACAGCTGCAGATGCTGCATCTGGTGTCGTCGCCACTGCTGCTGGTGCGGCTGGTGTTGTTGCTACCGCTGCCACTGCTACTTCTGGTGTTGTTGTCACTGCTGCTGGCGCAGCGTCAGGCGTGGTTGCCTCTGCAGCTGGTGCTGCTTCTGGAGTGGCTGCCACAGTCGCTGGTGCAGCAACAGGGGCAAGGTTGCTGGTGGGGGAGGCGGCGAGCCAAGCAGTCAGCATGGTTCCCAAGAATCCACTGCGACGAAAGGCTCCCTCAAAGGTGGGAAGTGCGTCCATCGGAGCAGGGTCGGACTTGGGGACCAGTCCAACTGATGTGAGCTTTGAGCATATGGCAAGCCCAGAGCATGAGCATTTCCATGACATACAGGTTCCCCGTAGCAGCATGGCAAGCTTCCTGGCTTCACCGGCTCAACTGTCAGATTCACTGAGGAGAGATGCCTCTCCAGCTGTGGAGTCGATCCATGAGCAGGACAGCAAGCTTACCCCTAAGCCATCCCCTGGATTCATGCGGAGGCTTTTCAAAGACAGGCCAGAGGAGGAGTCCAAGGAGCCGTCGTTTTTCAGCCTGAATGCTGCTGCCACAATGTCCCCCAAAGGAAATCATGTCCCGGTTGTTGATGCCCCGCTGCCCCAAAAGCAAAGTGCGCTCCGCAGTCTCTTCAGCACACCAACCTTCTTTGCCTCTGGAGCGACTAAGGCCAAAGATATAACTGGAGAGGGTGGTGAGGAGGTTCCGCCAAGTTTTGCAGACCAGTTTGCAAGCAGGATGGGCTCACTGAGAAGCTTCAGTGGGGGTTGGTCTTCAGAACATGCACCGTCCACATGCAACAAACTGGCCAGCGAGAGTGTAGCTGCGAATTGTCAGCCTGACACACGGGAAGAAAAGGAAGCTGATGCAGAACCGCCTGCAACTTCAGCAGAAACAGTCCTTCCTCTGGAATCTTGCAAAGATGCTGACCCAGATGCAGTGCCTTTGACTTCTGCTGGGGTTGATGACGCCAGTCTCCTGAATGCAGGAATTGTGATGGAAAAGGCATGCCCTTCTCCCTCGTGCCACAATCAGCCTGCAACGACTTCAAGCCCCTGGTCTCTGCGAGCAGAGGGCCTCTTTTCCGCACTCAAAGGAGGAGTTAAGAGTAGTCCAAGCAGTGCAGGGACACCGCAGGGGCGTGGAGCAACAGAGGGCGTTTCCATCATTGATATTGGAGCTTCCGCTTCCCCTCAGACTGACGTGAGCTGTCATCATTACCATGTCGTTGAACTGCTCGTCCTTAGCTTGGACTCACACGCTTTCCAATGATGTGCAGGATTCACTGGAGGGCCTGTATGGTGCGCCGAAGCTCCCGAAGCACCCATCATTCAGCATCAGGAAGAGCACTGTTCTGGCCACACTGGACTTTGTAAAGGCCCTTGGAGACATTTCCTTTGGGCTCGTGGATGTCTTTCCCAACGAGGACAGGCAAACGGCTCTCGGGGAGGTGAGCACGGCCGCACCGCATTGGACCATCTTCTTCCTGCAGCATGTTAGTCAATAATGCCCTTTGCACTGACTGTGTTCATTCCGCAGTCCCTTGCAGAGCTGAACGCGCATCTTGCGGGCATGCCAGCAAACGAGGGTCAGTATGCATAACACATGTCTAAAGCAAGCTGTCTGCAACACGGTACTAGCTAGAGCGTGGGGGAGGTGTCTCATTCTCAGCGTGCTGTGTGCCGCAGGAGTGTTCTTCCCCATGGGCAAGGGGTGCTTCAGAGTGGTGAGGCTGCTGGAGGACGAGGCTGTGCTCATGAGCTCGCGGGACAGAGTGCCCTTCATGCTGCTGCTCGAAGTACTCAACTGCCTCCCCTTGAGGTCAGTTCCTTCCATTTCTCCTCACCACTGCCCTAAAAGCTACTCATTCATCTCCTTACCATTCAAATCTGCATGTCCTCTCTCCCAGTTAGTCGCACTTTTGCTCATTTCTTAATTTACCCGCAGTGCACGCAAGGCTGGCACAGCACCCGAGGGCATGGCGCCGGCCAAGACTGGCATCCCCCTGGCGGCCAGCCAGCCCCTGCCCATGCGCCCGCCCCCCTGGGCGCTGCACATGTGGAGCCATGCGCGCCCCGCCTCTCAGCACGCGCAGGACGCCCCCTTGGGTCTGTCACGCACGTTGTCAGACATGGCTCTGGACCGCGCCATGGCCAGCATGTACTCCCGCATGCGCCTCGTGCAGCTCAGCCTTGAAGTCTGCAAACGACCACCTGCCACTGCTGCTGCTGCTGCTGCTACTGCTGCTGCTGCTGCTACTGCTACTGCTTCCGCTCCTGCTGCTGGTGTGAGGACAGATATCCTGAGTCAAGTGCAGCAGGCAGTAGCAGCTGGAGCAGCACTGGCTGGTGCAGGCAGCAAGCCCAACCCGAGTTCAAACACCCCATCTGTGGCCTCCAACACGGATACAGAGAAGGAGGGCGATGCAGGGCAGGCAGAGTGGGAGGAGTACGTGAGTGTGAGGCTGGTGGCGGTGCCAGGGGTGACTCTTGATGACCTCACAGGCCTGGATGCTGTCAGCCTCTCCCGTGGTCGAGCCAGAGTGCCCAGCAGCCTTGCCATCGCACATGTCCGGGTACGTGCCTCCTGCCCCCCCTGCACCTTACGTTCTATAATATCAGCTAGCCTGTAAAACTTAAGATTGTCTCTGGAACAATCAGCATCGTTTAGGTGCTCATGCCTTTCACTTCCATTGCCTATGGCAGGCAGTCACCCAACAAGGCGAAGGGCCTCCTCTAGGCATGCCTGTCACCAGTCCTTCGTCAGGAGTCGGCCCCGCTCAGGTCTGTGCTGCTGAGCTTCAGATTCTGCAACCAATCAGGTACCTCTACTGTGTTCTTTAAAACTCATCACGAAATCCCTTTTTACCCTGAGGGGGATGCAGGAACTTCTGGAGAGACAACGAGTGGATGAGAGTTGGGAGAGTCGCAAGGCAAGAATACGGCAGTCGTCCAAGTTCGGCACATCGCCAGACTGGGACCTGCGGTCAGTAATTGTCAAGAGTGGCGACGATTGCAGGCAGGAGCATTTTGCCTTGCAGCTTGTCTCGCACCTATCTGGTGAGCAAGGCTTTGTGGCAGACCTGAGCGTTCCTTGCTTCTGCTTGTCCACAATTAAGCATGTGTAACGACGTTGCCATGCCCTATCCTGCAGACATCTTTCAAGAATCAGGGCTGCCACTGTGGCTAAGACCATATGAGATCCTGGTCACTTCAGGAAGCACTGCTCTCATTGAGACCATAACTGATGCTGTGAGTGACGTCATGTCCTTATGGAGAGTCGTTATGTCCTAAATGAAAGCATGGCTCTATGGAGAATCTTTTCCTCATGTTGATTCCTCTGTGCAGATCTCATTGCACGCCCTCAAGAGCCGCAATCCCCACATCAAGAGCTTGCGGCAGTATTTTTGCGAGAAATTCAAGCTTGGGACTCCTGAATTTCGCGTTGCTCAACAGAACTTTGTAGAGAGCATGGCAGCCTACTCCGTTGTCTGCTACCTCCTTCAGGTGAGGTCCCTTACTACTTTCACCTTCTTCTGAATTGAATGACTCATTGTCTGAGTACTGCTTGGTACTTTCGTGGTGCAGCTGAAGGATCGGCACAATGGCAACATCCTTCTGGATGACCAGGGCCACATTATCCACATTGACTATGGCTACATGCTCTCCAACTCACCTGGCTCTGTCAACTTCGAAACTGCACCCTTCAAGCTCACCCGTGAAATGGTTGAGGTGGGTAATTAGTTATAGGTTCTGCCGATGTTTTCTCAGCGTCAATTCTCTCAAGAAGTTGTGAGGAGTTCAAGGCATGTCATCTGCTTGATGATCCCTTGACCTGTAGCCATCTGCTTTGTGGACTGTTCAGGTTATGGATTCTGATGCAGACGGTTCCCCAAGCGAGGCATTTGATTATTTCAAAGTGAGCTGTCCTTGTATTTCACTTATTCTCTGTCCTGCTCTGCACGTATGTTCCCTGTGTGCAGATATCATTCTCATTTACCCCCCCTAATCGGTTCTGTGTCTACTGTTGCAGGTTCTTTGCATACAAGGTTTCCTTACATGCCGCAAACATGCAGAGCGCATCTTGTTGCTGGTTGAGATGATGCAGGTGTGTGATGACTTTTACTTGAAGCGTGGTATACAGTCGGTTCTCCACAATTCCCACTGACATGTAATTGTGATGTTTTCAGCAAACACGGTGTCCCTGCTTCAAGGCAAAGCACCGAGTGCTACATAACTTGAGGAGGCGGTTCCACCTTACACTAACAGAGGAGGTAAGACTGTTGATTGTTCTCGTTGCAATGCAAGCTCAGAAACTAACCATTTTTGTCCATGTTCTGCAGCAATGTGTCTCGCTCATCCTGTCGTTCATCAGCAAGAGTGTTGATGCCTGGAGTACCCGGCAGTATGACTACTACCAGCGTGTTCTGAATGGTATTCTGTAAAGCGTACATACTTTGTTCAATCAAGTTGAAGTCCCTTTTGCTGATCAAAGATTTAGCTATCAAGGCACCTGTAAATCCTCTTGCGGAAAAAAAAAAAGAGGAATATAGGAACCAGGCCTCAATTATCGTTGGGCGCAAAATGGCTTCGCCCGGACTTGAACCGGAGACCTTCAGTGTGTTAGACTGACGTGATAACCAACTACACCACGAAACCACATGACATTTGGCAGGCAGTTGATGTATTGACCAGTGTTTTTCCGTCGGTGTTTTTTGCATTTCTGTACTTGATTGAGATTTCTGCGATGGCGGTGGAAGCGGTGAGCCCCGTCACCCAGGAATCTGTGCAGGCTGCTGTTGCCGCGAAGGACTTCGCTAGGATAGCCGAAATCTGTGGTCAGCTTGAGCTCGAGGTGTGTGCGTGTTCTACTCTTCTCTTCCTTGGACAGGTCATGTATCGTAGGTTTCAGCCTGACCCTCTTGACGCCGTCTGACAATGGCCTAAACCATGATCTGTCCCAGGCATCCATGACGAATTCCGCCTAACAGAGCGTCGCGTATTAACCTGGTTCGAACCTGTAATGATACGGATTCCAGTCCGCTCCTTTCACCAGCCCGGCGCGTGAAGTGTTCGTTTCTGATTTTCTCCTTCATGGTGCAGGCTGCAGCATCGGGATCTCCGGCTCTACCCGCAACGATCCAGTCGCTGCATCTGCTGGGCTTGCTTCATGATGGAGATTTGTAAGCGATCCTCAGTAACTTGGGTTGAATCTGGAAGCCGCTGTGTGGTCCCTGGTTTTCTGTAGTGTCTCGAAGTGTGCAATATCTCACGACTGGTGGTTGCCGGTCCTCACTCCGTTTGATGCAACCCAAGCTTCGCCTCCTCTTCCTGATTGTTCTCTCCACCCTCTTTCCATATGTTCTGTATCTTTAAAGAAATGAGGCGCGGTTCTTATGGAAGCGGATACCTGCGTCAGTGAAAGACGGCAATGCTGAGCTGGCAGCCACGTGGAGAGTGGGACAAGCTATGTGGAAGCGAGACAGCCAAGACGTTTACGATGCCTTGAAAGCGTTTCACTGGTCGCCTATTGTGCGACCCATGGTCGCTGCTCTCACAGGTACTTGCAACCACCTTCAAAATTGCATCTGTCAGAGTCAGTCCTCCACCTGGCTGTTCCCATCTGAGAGTGAACCCGATGTGCTTCTTTGTGTTTTTGGCTGGAAGTAGATTGAATAGCACGTTGTGCCATTTGTGTTCAATCTCCCCCACGTGGGTGCCACCGAATCATGTCATGTTGTATTACCGTCATTCCTGTTCCCGTTTCCCCCCATTGCAGACAGATACACACACACCATGATGGAACTTGTTGCTCGCTCTTTTTCCACCATCTCACCCTCACATGCTGCCACCTTTCTCGGTCTCACCTCTCAAGAAGCCCTTGCATTCCGTGAGCACTCTCCCCTTCAGCCCCATTTGCCCTTGCATTTACCATTTGCCTCTCCACTCTTTGTCAGCTCTATTTTCCTTTGTCTCTTGAGTCTCAATTCTAGCACATGTTTGTTTTTTACACTGTTTCCTCTTTATTTGCAAGGCACATTGATTTTTTTCCTTTCACACACATTATTGTCCTGCTCGCAACACATTAATGTTTTTTTTCTGCAACCTAGTGCAATTCATCCCCCTCATGCAAGCGTTGTTCCTCGGTGAGTGTGAGCAGTGGAGGCCAGGGACTGGAAATATGATTCTGCAACAGACATGTTTACACCACCAGTGGTCCAAGCAGGGAAGGACAAGGAACTCGAGGAGGAGCAGAGGCAATTAGCTCAGGTGAAGCGTCTCACTGAGTATGTCTTTAATTTGGAGCATTGATGATGTGTGCAGCTGTTAGGAATGTGGATAGGAACTTATACCGTATCTGGCAGTCATTTTCTCAGATGGTTGAAACAATTCAAGTATTGTCTATCTTTTATACGTGGCTGGATCATGACAACTCACAGTAATAGACTGATGTTTGGCAGCTGTGTACCTACTGTGCAATCCACACCAGAGGCATCGAGAACAGACAAAACAATTTCTGCCAGGCGGACTAAAGCAAGTGGGCAGGCTGGGCATGTGTGGTCCTCAACAGCTGCACCCGGCCATGCTGTGACTCACAGCCACACCACCCTTGTGACCTAACCAAGTCACCCTGCCTCAACGCAAATGTCAAAAATATTCCTACTCGACACCCCACCCCTGCCCAACATCGTTCAGTCACACATGGGCCAGAGGACGGTATAAAATCACACTTGCATCATTGGCGGTTCATGGAGTCAAAGAATTCGCTAATGGCGCCGTTCATTGACCCGAACGCATCAGACCTGCCCCTCTCCTCCGCTCCCTCTGCTGCCTCGCCGTTCACCACCCTCCCATTCGGCTTGCCGTTGACCTTCCCACCCGTCTCAGCACCATCAGCATCAGTGTTTGCCCGCTGTGCTCTCAGCTCCCTCCTCCTCCGCCTCTCCTCCAGCCGCCACAGCCGCTCTGCTGTGTTCTCTATATCCCACTCCGTCAACCGAGCCTCGCTCTGCTCCTGCCGAACCTCATCCCACTCACCCACCTCGTATGTCGCGCGTTGCTCAGCCTTGCCCTGCTGCTTTGGCGGCGACCAGTCACTCACAGGGAAGGCTCGGATGCGAATCTGAGATTCGACATCCGAGCCTGTTCCGTCCCTAGCAGCTGCAGACATGTCATGAACAGCATTCTTCCCTTCCTCCTCCTCTCCTGCCCGATCAGCATAAACCTCATCACTAGTCCTGTTCCTTAGCACTCCCCTCACACTCTCAAACATCCACCCTGCTGCTCCAGCCACGGCCCCTCCTGCTGCCCCTACTGCTCCTCCCACTGCCCCTGCCGCGCCAACCGCCAACCCCTTTGCACCGTTCAGCACCCCACCCACAGCTGCCACCGCCCCTGACCCCACCACTCCTGCCACACTAACCAGCGATGGTTTCCTCTCCTCCACTTTCCCCTCACCGCTCCCTGCACTGCTCCCCTCGCCCCCCTCCTCTGCCCTGACTTCCGCCTCATTACTCGCCACCACCTCAGTGATACTTTCCTCCACCATCTTATCCAGTCCCTTCTGCTCTCGCTCCTGCTGCAGTGCCCGCATTGCCTCCTCATCCACCTCCCCCTCCGCCCCTCCCTCCGCTGCCGTCCCCTTATCACTGTCCGAGTCACTCTCTCCAAACACTTTAATGTAAGCGATAGGGGCGGTGGGCGCCGGAATGGCGGTTGTTACCGCGTTACCACCAGTGTTACTAAACGTGGAGGATTCGTCCCGGTCCACATATGACTTGTAGGTGAGGAGAATGCGGATCTCGCCCTGAGCTGCTGGTTTGACGCCGAAGGGGCCGTCTTGTAACAGTGGTAACCACATGGAGAGCGGTACACAGTCCTGCAATTGCCAGATGGGCACCTGGTGTTGTGTGGGGCGAAGGGGGGTGAAGTGGGGTGGTGGTGCATCAGCAAAGGCAACAGCGTGTCATGGCATGATGGCGTCATGTGGGATGGTAGACTGGCGAAAAAGAGGAAAGCAAGACGGCACCAGAAAACGGCACAAATAACAATAGCATCACAGCTCAACCAAGACAATCCCAATCGGCGCCCCACAGCGCAACGCACCTCGACAAAGCCAATGTTGCGGTTGAGCGCCATGGAGTCTCTGAGCATGACGGTGAGCTTCTGCCCCACATGCACAACACAGTGCAGCACAACGCACCTCAACGAAGCCAATGTTGCGGTTGAGCGCCATGGAGTCCCTTAGCATGACGGTGAGCTTCTGCCCCACGGGGTCCTCCACCCAGAAGTGGAAGTCCTGATTCCACACCGGGTCCCTCGCCCCCGACGGGTGAGACGTCTCGCTGTTGCGCTTGCTCTCCACCATCACATCGCCCACCATCAACCGACAGTACGGATTGCTCCACACTGCACGCATGTACACGCCCAGACACAGGACACAGGTCAAATAGAGTTGTTGCAATGGGAATGCGGGGCACGAGAGTTGAGGCCAAGTGCTGGCCCAGCGCCCGCCTGATAAGCCTTAAGACGGCATGGCACCCACCTGATAAGCCGTAAGATGGCAAATTGCGCGCTTCGCAGAGGGTGACAGAAAGCTCCCCCACGAACGAGTCGCTGGGCTCCATGCGCGTGGGGACGAGCCCTGACGCCGCTGACGACGGCCGCTGCCCCGCCAGCCCCGTGAACGTCTCCGATTTAAGCAGATCCAGTACCATCGCGGACGCTGCTGCCGCCATGTGCTGCTGGGGGTCTTCTCCGGCCGGGAGGAAGTCGAAGGTGATATGACGTGGCAGCACGAGCAGACGTGGCAGGTCGACTGTGAGTAGCTTGGAGAGGAAGCTGATAGAAATGGGGGCGGAGGGGAGTGGGATGGACAGGAGGCGGTGTGAGTGTGGTGAGTGGTGTGCGTGTGGTGGGAGTGTGGTGGGAGTGTGGTGGGAGTGTGGTGGGAGTGTGGTGGGAGGGTGGGACATGGGAAAGGCACAGGGTGTCACTCAAGCTAGCAATTGCCAATGCAGAAAACAAGAAGATGGCGGGGGGAGGAGGGGAGGGGGGGGGGGAAGCGTGGTTGGGGGAAAGCGGGTTACAAGGAGCGAGCGTCAGAACGATGGGCTAACCTGGAGAGGAACGGAATGGCTGCTCACGGCGTTGAACGACGGCAATCCCAAGACCGTGAGACGCGGGGAGCGACGGACCCGCGCGGAAATACCAAGGAAAGGGAGAAAGGAGAGGAGACGGGAAGAAAACGTAGGTGAGTTGAGGAAGCAGCTCTCGCATGATCAAGCAACAGAGAAAACGCAGCAGGTCAGGGGTGCGAGAAGAAAGGGCAAGCAGCGACAGCACGGACGTTGAAAGATACGTCGGTCCTGAAGCAACCAGAGACGGGGGCTCGGCGCGCAGCGCACTCACCGAAGAGATTGACGATGCGGAAGGGCGCGAGGACGAGCTTGATGGTGGGCAGGCGCACGAAGGCGATGGAGAGCGTGCCGACGTACGGCTTGCGCGGCGTGAGGCGCAGCTTCACCCAGAGCTCCGCGTCCACGTCCAGGTCGTGCACGCCCACCGGCACCGCGAAGTCCACCCCCGCCACGCGCAGGTGCAGCAGCAGCAGGCAGCGCGCGTCGCCCGTGTAGCGCAGCGCCACGTGGTACCTGAGAGGGGTGGCGTGGGCAGGGTGAGGGCGGGTGGACGGGGTGGGTGAGGCAAGTGGGGGGAAGGAGGAACCTTACTGACATGGACGCAGGCGGAAGTGCGGCAATTTAAGGCATTGGCGCGGGCATGGGGGCGGGTATGGCACGGGAACGGGCAAGAGCAGGGGCCGAAAATTACTGAAGGTCGTTGGCGCGTCGGCTGGCGCGGCGCTGCACGTTGCGGACGGCGAGCGGCTCGTAATCCAAACTGAACTCGGCGATCTCGACGCGCGTGACGACGGCGGGCAGCGGGAGCGTATCAATTGCCGGCTGTAGCAGCCCAACGAGCCATGCCTCGATGGAACGGCGATAAACCTTCCACATCTTATGCAGCACCATGTTTACCCACTCCACTGACTCCTTGCCCCCGCCCACGCCCACCTCCGCGCCGCCCATCGCGCCGCCCATTGCGCTGTTGGGATCCGCCGCCGGGGGGACCTCGGGTAAGGCGGCGGGGCCCCGCTCCTTGGCTTCTGCGAGCACCTGCGGGGATTCGGAAAGGGCGCGAAGCGAGTATATGGTGGATTCGAGAACCAATCAATCGTCGACAACTCAACGGATTTTGCACGCAGGAGAGCTCGGCGTTGAAGGAGGATGGTATGGAATAGCTGGCATGGCATGGCTCGCTTCGATTGCGTGGGGGCAATTAGGCCCCCCTTAGAATCGGCAATCCACGTACCTTGGACTCTTTTCGCTTCGACAGCAACGCGATGCACCCCGACGCCATGAGAGCCGTCGCGGCGCCGATCGTCGCGAACAGCATGTCGCGGAGCGGCCCTTCCACGTCGTGTATCGAGATCGGCAGAGCTCTCGCCACGTGCGACCGAGAGCGCGACCGCTTCCCGAGCAACAATTCCCTGCCGGGATGAGCTGCGCCCTGCTGCGACTCCTCGCGCGGAGCATCGTCGATATCTAAAGAGTCGCTGACCGGCTGGCTCGAGGCGTGGCTAGGGACGGACGGTCTAGATGACGCAGTGGAAGTATGGAAGGCCTGTCCACTGCACGATGGCGGCACGAGCAGCGGTCGACAGGCGTGGACTGCGGTGGAATGTCGCACGTGCGACTGGCGAAGAAGAGAGGGCTTCGCGGGAAGAAACGGCGTCGTTAATTTCGGACTACATCGGGTCTCTGACGGTGCTGGCGCAGTGGGCGTCGACTGTCGTACAGTTCGTGACTTGGGCTGCTGACCGCAGGGAGTCGCGAGCGAGGAAAGCAGAGTGTGGCTCGCTAGCGAACTCTTGGCAGCCATGGCCGGGGCTTGCACTGCATGACCCATGGGTCTGAAGGAGGTCACTAGTATCTAAGCCTCCACACGCCTATGTCGCAATTCACTGGAATTCAGTCAGTATGTGGACAATTCAAAACGGTGATCTCGAGAAAAGGGATCGGTCTTGCTCAGCGAGTTAGGACATGACCTTTACCTCCCCAGAAGCAAGTTTGACAGCAGGGAGACGTGGATGTGAGGTGGGGCAAAGAAGCACGACTGTCGGCTTCGCTTGCTTCCTCGCGTCGTTCGAGCCTTCACTCGCACTTTCTCCTCCGCCCACCAACCTCCTCGATTTCATCCTTGCGCGCGCTGGTGCAAATCTGTGCCTCCCGGTCACCCATGCTGCACCTTCCGCGGACCGCCTGCCCGCGCCCCTCTGCTGCCATCACCATCATGCTTTCTGCCCGTGCCCTGCCCTCATCCCTAGTCACACGAACGGAACGTCGCTTTTTCTAGGCAGCGCCCCCTAAAATTTCAAAACCTGCCCTGAGACGTTGTCTTCTGCTCCGTGGCGCACCGAGCCCTGAGGAGCAAGCGGGCGGGTGAGAAAAGTGACCTAGGGGGGAGTGGTGGTCCCACCACCACCCGCAATTTTTTCTTTCGCGAGAGCCTGTTCTGTGAGAACTTCGCACGCGTCTGCGGTGACGGAGAATTCGCCACATGCCGTATGGATCTGACCACAAGTTTTTTGCGCCCCAGCGAACAGCATGGTGGTGGCACTTACCGGTCCGGGCAGTTTTGCACTTTCCATCAGCTTGCCCTCAACTCTTGGAAACAGGCAGGTATCCACTGCGATTGGCTGGGTGGGGAAAAATTGCATCCTTGCTATCGTCGATCTGGCTCTTGGGACCGTCCAATCAACACCTCGGGCTAGTCAGCCACGTCAGGGATTTGAAAACCGTGTTGGCGGCAACGGACTGGCTACTCCAGGTTGCGTACCTTTTGTGGTTGCCGCCTCCCCAATGGCAGGGTGATTTCTGTTCTCCGTGCCTGAATTCGAGGGGATTTGGCGAGCAAACTATCGGTTTTGCTGGGAAACGTTGAGCAGAACAAGGAAGATAGTTTGAGAATGCTGTCTACACCCTATCGTAAATTGACACCATAGGTAACTTTTAGGTGCCTGAAAATTTTGCACCACTTTTCCTTCCAATTCCAACATTTATATTTTATGTCTCCCTAGATAAACTCGTTCTCATTTGTGGTACATACTTTTTTTAACGTATAAGTACACGCATAAACACATTAGCCAGAATCAGCCCCACCTCCAAAAGCCTGCTTATCATAGTCTACAGCTTTGAGGTGTTCAACATCAGCCCACCGTAAGATGGTCCACTTGTCTGGAGGTGTTATTCTAACAATACCAATCGAGGTGTTGTACACTTTCTTTGCATGCCTGTTTCCTGATGCCTTCATTTGAATGCAATTGCACACTCCACCGTGAGTCACCAGGAGCACCCTTTGGCCTGCAAACAGGTTTCAAAAGTCATCATTTACACATATGCAAAGGCGAAGAAACATGGAAGTGCTTCTTTCCTGCTCTTACCGAGGTGCTCCTTGGCAATGCGATTGACGGTTGTTGTCACCCTCCCATACATGGCCTCCAAGCTCTCTCCCCCTCCCTTGTGTTCACACGAGTCAGACAGAGTCAGAAACAAGAGCGCAAGCAAACCACTGCAGCGTGAGAGGGGTAGAGAAGGCACAGTGCGGGCCGGCCAGGCAACATACAAAAACGATGATGGAGAGGGGGAGAAGAGGCTGCAAAGGAGTGGCACACAGGAATGGGTTGACTCCAGTCCTTTGAGGTCAGTATGCCGTAGGCCTCAGGGTGCTTCCGAGAAGCTTCCTCCCGGACGAGGCCCTCCAGAACCCCCAAGTTGCGTTCTCTGAGCCCCGGCAGCCGCACCACCTGCTCTCCTCGCATGCCCACCGCCTCTGCCACCCCCTCCGCCGTCTCTGCCGCCCGCCTGAGGTCCGACGAATACAGCGCTGTGAATGGCAGGTCACCCCCGGCGAAGCGAGCTGCCAGCTGGCGGGCGGAGAGGGCATGGAGAAGGCATAGGTAAGGCATGGAGAGGGGAGGAAGGAGCGAGGAGGTGGGATGAAGAGGGGAAGGAGCGGATGGGAGCCTGAATGAGGGGAAGGAAGTGCGGGGGGAAGACGGGCGGCGTGCCAAACGGTGGAGAACGAGCATGTAGTGAATGGGCATGTAACGAGCGGGCATGGAGGCTTGGAGAACTGGGGAAAGGGCGGATGAGTCATTCAAAGACAAGCGTGAGGGACGAGGCGGGGCGCACCGCGCGGGCCTGAGCACGGCCGACGTCGCTGAGGTCGGACTCCGTCTGTCCCTGCATGCGGTTCTCGCGATTCCACGTCGTCTCGCCGTGCCGCACCACCACGATCTCCGCCACGTCACGCCGAATGAACGGATTCGATCGGTATGTCCACGTGGCTTGCGTGGCGCCTTCCGGTGACGAATCTACGCGTGACGTGGCGGCAGCAGCGCTGGTCGCTGCCGTGAATCCCGGATCACCTGCCGCTTCTGCCCCCCCCGGCATTGTCACACTACGGGATGAAACGAGGCCAATTAGCGATTGTGGGACGACAGTAGACGAGGTAACCACCTTCGTGAAATGCGATGGCGAAGGAGAACGGTGAGCAGCGCGGCGCGCAGCGATTAGCGAAGTGCGGAAAAATCCAAATGAGGGCATGAAGAAGTGGCGAGACCTACGTCGATGACGCTCGCGAAAAAGCAGTGCGAGGAATGAGAACCAGAGGTGGTGGTGAATGGTTTTGTACCCGCTTCTCAAAGCTTCAATTTGGGAAATGAATTCGAAAAAAAACACTACACCAGATTTTCCAACTGAATCCACAAAATATCGAAACCATCACCAACTGCTTGCCCTACAATTTTGCCCGTCAAAACCACCTCTATGTTTCTTGCACCAGCTTGTGTCGGTCCCCCTAACTCTCGCAATCCGTCGCAGGTCTCTGAGACGGTCGTTAGATCCCGTACGTTACGAGAGAAGAAAACAACGCGCGTCGCGTTCATCGCCGTGCGGCGAGGAGCCGAATGGCTCACGTGCTGCTCAAGCGCACGTCGGCTCCTACCGCCGCCGCGGCACGTCGGGATGACGGGTCGGATTGCTCGGCAGGGCAGGTGCATCTTCTTCCCCTCGCACCCCGCGTCCTCGTGACTTGTCACGCGTCGACTGCGGGCTTGTCTCTCTCTGGCTGTAACTTAACTCTTCGCCTTGGCTCTACGGCTAAGGCCTGAAATCGCCTTACTTGCCCCTCACCCTAATCGCACGTTTTTTTTTTTACATGCGGCTACACGTTGCATCTCACCACGTTTCTTTATCCCCGCACTGAACCGCAGATAGAGCACCTCCAGCGCTATGAAGAGGAGCAGATGAGCCAGCTCCGCTATTGGTCGCCTGCTCCCGCCAGAGCTGACGTGGCGCATCCAGATTCGCTCGCTGCTGACGTTGACGATTTACTAGAAGTGGCAGCGGCAATAAGACAAGTGGATTCGGATAAGAGCCTTACCAGCCAAGTCAGCGACACGGGGAGCCAACGATTGCGGCTGACTCAGCAGCACCAGCCAACGCATGTCGGACACGTGGCAGCGGCAACAGCCTCGGAGGCGGCAAGGAGTGAGATGGATGAGGAGAGGAGCACAGGGAGCAGCGAGAGGGGAGGGGCCATGGGGCAGGGTAGAGGGGGCGAAGAGGGGGTGGTGATTCATGCTGGGAGCATGGGAGGCGCGGTGGGAGCAGCAGAAGCAACAGCCGCCGCGACTGAGGCTGCAGCAGCGCTCATCCGACCCCGTGGGCTGTACGCTGCCGGCCAATCAGGGCGCAGCTTGGGTGGGGGGAGGCGACAAGCCAGACGTGGTGTCAAGGACAAGCTGGGAGAGGTGGCGACAACGGGAAGTGGTTGGGGAGGGGGGGAAAGAGGAGGAGGAGAAGGAGGAGGAGGAAAGGGAGAAACAGGGGAAAAGGGAGGGGCAAAGGGGGAGAGAGGGGCAGTGAGGGCAGTGGACAGTGTGAGTCTGCTGCACCAGCAGCAGCCGCTGCTACCAGAGGGGGCCTCAGAGGACCACCTTCGCCGCTTCGGCTCCATCACTCGCTCCCTCTCCCTCTCCTCTTCCTCCTCTACCCCCACTGCCGCTGCCGCTGCTGCCGCTGCCGCTGCTGCTGCAGCAGCAGCAGCGGCTGCTACGGCTGCTGCGGGTGGGATTGAAGGCGTCAAAGGCTCCCCAAGCTCGCTCCGCCCTTCTCCCTCCCCCACCTTTTCCTCCCAAGCGTCAGGGACAGGCTTGGCCCAAGCTTTGCTGTATAGGACTAAGAGCGAGTGTGGACGTGTGGGGAGTGAGGTTGGGCAAGTGGGGAGTGAGTGTGGGCGTGTGGGGAGCGGGGGTGGGCATGTGGGGAGCGAGTGGGGGCGTGTAGGGAGCGAGTGGGGGCGTGTAGGGAGCGAGGTCGCTGCTTCTCCTAGTCTCTCTGCCACAGGGTCAGCACACACTGCTGCCACGTCAGCATGGGAAAGCTGCTCTGATGGGTCAGTGGGGCCATTAGAGAGTGTGCATGAGGCTCTGGTGACGAGCAGGAGGGGCGAGCGGCAGTGGCGGGGGAACAGCATGAGTAGTGTGAGAGAGGAGATGGGAATGGGCGTGTGGAGTGCGAGTGAGGGAGTGGGCATGGGGTCGGGGCGTGGGAGCGCGTTGGGGAAGGGGCATGGGGTGACACATGAGGTGGAGGGGCGGTGGGGGTCGGAGGGGGGGTATGTGACGCGGAGGGAGATGCATGCGGTGCTGGCAGGCATGGCTCAGCTGCAACACACCGTGGATGGTGTGCTCCTTCACCTGCAGCAGCAGCAGCAGCAGCAGCAGCAGCAGCAGCAGCAGCAAACGGGGCAGACACAGCAGGAGCAGTTTTCAGGGGCAGCAGCAGGCAGGAGCAGGGATTCGGGCAACGAGCAGCAAAGTCCGCAAGGCCACGAGTCATTACGGAGTGGGTCTGCAGTGCAGCAGCATGGTTCATGGGCAGGAGAGCAGGGCAGGGAAGGCAAGGAAGCACCACTGCTGCTGCCCATGCCGGCAGTGCTGTTGCTGTCCGCCCTGGTGGCCCTTGTGCATGCGCTCTGGTCCACCTGCAAGTGGGCCGTGGGGCTTGTGTGGCCGCTGTGCCTGCTGCTGCCGCTCATGCACCGCATGGAGCACCACTGCCGCCTGCACTGCCAGCTCTGGACTGGACCTGGGGATGGCATGGACCGAGAGTGAAGGGCTTTTTGCCGTGCCTGCTGTGCTGTCCATTCGATTGGTTGGCAAAGCTGCTCAATTGTGGTTTGCTTCGCTTGATTGCTTGTGGGTCGAATGTGCCTTTCTGTGGAGTGTATAAATGCGATGCGCAGTATGGAATGACCACTTGGTGTGTTGTGAGTTTTAAGCTAATACAGTACACACAAGAATGCATCACTCAGGAAGGCATGATGCATTGACAGACAACCGTAACCACATTTCTGCTTGCCCACATTCAGTCCCTATCCGCCTTTACCCCTGCTGGGTTGCAATCTCACCACGGGTGACCGAGGGGGTCTCTTCCTCCCCGGTCTGCCTCGCCCTGCCAGCACCGCTTTCACCCTCGACACAATGCTCTTTGCCGCTTGGTTTATGGTGCCGGGTGGAGGGGAGGCGGGCAAGGGCCGCAGGAGGCGTTGCGAGGGTGGTGGAGGGGTGAGGGGCGGTGGGTATGGTAGGGTGAGCTTGCAGGAGGCAGAGAGGAGGTCCCAGTTGTGCTGGATGAGGAACTTGGAGGCGTTGACCCCCACCAGGTTGTACCTGGCTTCTGATGGGTCCGTGAGAATGGGGGCGAACCTGCAAAGGCGAGGCAGAGAGGGACAGGAAGAAGGGAAAAGAGAGGGGAATGAGGGGGGTTGTGGTGGTAGGGCGGGGGGGGTGAACTTGGAGGCGTTGACCCCACCAGGTTGTATCTGATGGGGGGGCCTGTTCGAATGGTAGAGAACCTGGATGGGGGAGGGTAGTGCACGAGGGATGGGAGGGATGACTGGACCAGGCCAAGAGGGTTGGACCTGCATTTTCTCACTTATGTATGTCGGAGTAAGCGGAGGTAGAGGGCGTAAGCGGAGGCAGAGGGCGTAAGCGGAGGCAGAGGGCGTAAGCGGAGGCAGAGGGCGTAAGCGGAGGCAGAGGGCGTAAGCGGAGGCAGAGGGCGTAAGCGAAGGCAGAGGGCGTAAGCGGAGGCAGAGGGCGTAAGCGAAGGCAGAGGGCGTAAGCGGAGGCAGAGGGCGTAAGCGGAGGCAGAGGGCGTAAGCAAAGGCAGAGGGCGTAAGCGAAGGCAGAGGGCGTAAGCGAAGGCAGAGGGCGTAAGCGGAGGCAGAGGGCGTAAGCGAAGGCAGAGGGCGTAAGCGGAGGCAGAGGGCGTAAGCGGAGGCAGAGGGCGTAAGCGGAGGCAGAGGGCGTAAGCGGAGGCAGAGGGCGTAAGCGAAGGCAGAGGGCGTAAGCGGAGGCAGAGGGCGTAAGCGGAGGCAGAGGGCGTAAGCGAAGGCAGAGGGCGTAAGCGAAGGCAGAGGGCGCAAACGGAGGCAGAGGGAGTAAGCGGAGGCAGAGGGCGTAAGCGAAGGCAGAGGGCGTAAGCGAAGGCAGAGGGCGTAAGCGAAGGCAGAGGGCGTAAGCGGAGACAGAGGGCGTAAGCGGAGGCAGAGGGCGTAAGCGAAGGCAGAGGGCGTAAGCGAAGGCAGAGGGCGTAAGCGGAGGCAGGGGCCTTAGCGGAGGCAGAGGGCCCCGTGCAGACATGAGTGACGCAGAAACAGACCATTTGGAAGCCGCATTCGCTGAATACTAAGACGCCTCAAAACTGACACGGGTATAATCAAACATGAGAGGCACTGTGAGCTCACGTCCACGAGCACTTGTCGGCGACTATTGAGGCGCCTCACAAGACACGAGATGCACTGTGAACTGTGCACTCACGTCCACGAGCACTTGTCGGCGTTCTCCTCCCCGTCGCTGTCAAACCACGTGGAGACGAACGGGCTGGCAGCCGCCTCTGCGAGCTCGTGGGCGAAGACAGACACCAGGCCATCCATGCCGGGGTCGCCCGTGGGGGATAGAGACGCGTTGCTGCGGATGTCCGCTGCTATGCACGACGTGGGGCACTGCAAGGGGGGTGGAAGGGAGGCGGCCACATAAGGTGACGACGTTACGAAAGATTGCATGTTTAAGGAGCAACCAGATGATCAGCTCTCCCGCTTTCAGGATACGAGGCCAACCCTTTCACGCACCTGCTCACCCACCCCACCAGCAGGGATGCCCCCCCTCCCACGCACGTACCAGAACACATTTTCACCCACCCACCCACGCACCCACCCACTTACGCACCCACCCACGCACCTGAAGGTCCGCCTTGCCGGTCCACGCAGTAATGAACGTGCCAAAGCCAGGCGCTGAGCCAAAGAAGTGCCACCCGCAGAACGCCACACAGAAGCGGTCCTCCTGGGGATTGTCGGAGCCCGCCTGCGCCACACTCGCGTCCGA